AAAAAAAGAGAGAGATTCGTCATTGTCGACGAGAGGAAGAATGGGTTTGCACGCAACTGTTTCTCGAAGTTGCGGAACGCATGCTTTCCTTGAGCCATCTTCATGGTGAAGGAATATGTTGAGGGTAGCTGAAAGCTATTGTGTTTGTTAACAAATGCACTACGCTAAAAGCTAGTGTAAGATCTTTCGAGTGTTTTGAGTTTGAGAGAATGAAAGTTATGAGAGAGATTAGAAAGCTTGAAAACTAATCAACGAGAGAGATCATCATCAAGTGGATCGTAGATCTGGCTTCCGCGGGAGACTATAAATGTGATAAGTAGGTTGTGGTAGTAAGCCTACGTCTCTCCACGATCCTAAAACGGAACGCGTGGAAGGTCTGTCTAGCCTGGATCTAGTAGCGTGGAAGTACTCCACGCTGCTAAATATCTAGAGCGATGTTTCATCATCAACCTACTAGTATGACTAGCGCGGTCATTGAGAACCCTGTCTCAGATGACTATTCACGAGAGACTCAGTCATGAGTCGAACTCAAACCCTATCTAGGATCGAGTCGCGAATAAGGCTAAGAGAGCCGTGTATTGCACCCTGTAAGACTGATCAGGACGTTTGCACGTTTTGGGATGATCTCATGGGATGTTTTGTTGAATACATGGGTAAGCACGCCCGGTGCGGTTGCAATCCAAAACGCGATCGCATAATGAAAAGCACGGCACAACAAAGGAGTTCTGGTTTGAAAGAATTCCTAGCAACCCGTCGCTTCAGGAATGAATCCTCCGTCCTCTGCATCCCCATCTGGCAAAAACAACAATGGTCCAAACTCATGAGGAAGATTGATGGTTTCTACCGGGAATCGGGTCGCCGTGAAGGCAAGCACGCTACTGAGGAAGTTTCCTCGACGCACCAGGACCGAGAAGCCATTGCGACCGCTTGCATTTGGATGGGTACTCCTGAATTCGCTGAATTTTTCCACTTGAGCAACACCTCCTTCATGTGCACGGGCCGCGGCAGTGAAGTGTCCCTGATTAAATCGGACGCCGTAATTCCCTACGAGGTTAATGAGCTATATTATCGGTACAACGTCGTGGCAGTGGAACTCCAGCGTCAAAAGGATGGCCCGTTCGACACACTCCCCATCTTTCCCCACCGCGACGGACTCCTGGAAGATTACTATTTCAGTCTGATCCACCTCATTGTGTTATGCGGATGTAATCATGAGTATGTCCTGCCAACCTTTTCGTCGGCCGCGCTGAAGACCAAGAAGGATGGCAGTTCCAACAGCGACGTGTCGAGGGTATTCACCAAGCTGTTCGATAGGATGCTTACTGAGTTTGAAATCCTTGTCGACGATATCAATGAGAATTTGGGCAGTCATTCGAACCGGCGGGGGTCGCAACAAGCCATGACGGAGGACGCCAACCTATCGGGTTACACTCCGATATTCCGCAGTGGCCTGAAAGCGAAGAATATCCACACCGTCTTCGATTACATGTAAGTCCTTCTCCCCGGCTCCTCCAAAAAACCGTGACCTAACCGTATCTCCTCCTCCCCCTTCCCCCACTGCTCAGATTTGGATCTGCGAAGATGCAGAAGGATGCTGCAAAGAGCCTCTCCATGTGGATTACCAAGATTGGTGATACGATCATGGGCGGTCAGCCAGTGACTTTTGACGATATAGAGACCGATCCGGACACGTTGAAAAAATTCACAGACATCTTATTCGAAGACGACCTGGAAAAATGGTGGCACCCGAAGACCCGGGAGCTCCTCGTTATGACGTTGTTGTTGCGCTACGACCAGTACGTGGATATTTTGGAGTCGCACCCCTGCGCTGAGTTAGTTGACGACCTGGAACGATACCCGCACCTTGATCACCCCCTGTCTGATCCCGAGCAAGAGCGTAAATGGCTTAGCTTCTCGCAGGAAGGCCAAGGCCGCTTGGCCATGTCGTCCGTGCGGGAATCGCTCTTCCTCTCTCGAATCAACCAAGCATTGGATAGAGCCTGTCGGTATTACAAGCTGGATCCGGACAACCTCTGGTCTAGTTGGTGTAAGGAGGCGAAGAAAGGATTCTTGAAGGGTTCTAACACGGTCGGCCTCCCCACGCCTGCTATCTTGCGATACGGTGGTGATGTCAATAACGTCATGGTGGATAGCCGCTGTCTTATCGATCACATCAACAATGTGATCTCCATCGGCCATGTGAACAACTCCCAGCTCCTCCAAAACAAGAACAAACTCAATGATATCCATCATGCACTCACGGTCCAGACCCCACGCACGATGGACTTTCTAATTAAGAAGGTATCATACATTGAGAGCACGGTGCGGCGGCTCGAAGACGCCTTTGTTGGATCACCCCACGCACCAACCAAACCACCACCCGTGTCCGCGCTGCCAGGTTCTCTGTCTCCAGTAAGGGCCTGCAAGCGTATAAGACTTTATTGTCACTAACCACTGCTTTTTTTGTTGAGGATTTCCCCGTGGGCTATAAGCGCGACAAAGACCATGCGGACTGGCAAAACGAAGAGTTCCAAAACCCATTGAAGAAATTGTTCTGCAAGGTCAAGCGTGCCGTCCGACTCGTCCTCCTTTTTTCCGATTCCTACCCTCAGCCCAACCTCCCTAAGGCTGCCATCAGGGGCCTCGCGGAAGCCGCGGAGAAGGAATTACGCGTTGCCCTGGGAGCGAAGGAGAATGACACGCTCAGCATGCACACCATCGAGACAAAGAAGTTGAAGAATCAAGTAAAGACTTTGGAGGAGTCTCGGAAACTTCCACTGGACATTCGGGAAGACGTGCAAAATTGGTGGTGGAATAAAAAAGCCTTACAAAACATCAATCCAGTGTCATGGTAAGAACTGAAAAAATTGGTAGTGGAATAAATAAAAGCTCGTAACAAGAAAAACCATTAATTTTTTTAATTCATATTTTTTTGCCATCCACTCGCTCTAGCTCTTCGATCGAAGGTAAAGGTTTCGCCTTGTTCATGACGGATAAAACCAGACTCGTCTCTCCCGCGTGACTGCGAAAGCAAACCCGCGTCATACACGCGCGTAACCAAGAATGCACGCCACACACCCAAACCCGCATCCCCAAACCCACACCAAAAAATGATGAAAATGTGAGTACAGTCAACACTCACTAAAGTTCCACCCCCCAGCATTAAGAAAAAAACGGAACTTAGCTGAATAACGGAACTTTAGATCTTTGGAGCCCCATATCGGCCCGTTCGTGGTCTTAGGACCCACTTGGGTGGTTCCTGTCATATTCTATTGTTATTAGGGGTAAAAGGAACCAATCTTTCATAGGGTGGAACCACATCGCCGCTACATATAGTGTCTCTATTGTCGACTAGTTGTGTTACTACTAGCAAATGCTAGTAAAACGTGCTCTTTAGGCTTTGTCGAGTACACTGAGTGGTGTCTTGGCAATGAAAGAGAAAGAGAAAGTTGAACTAACTTTTCATATGTATAAATGAGATTCCTAAAAAGGTATCCCAAAGTAATCCCACATAATTCTAAGTAATTTTTAAAGAAAAATGTGACTGTTGTTGCCTCATTTTGAAAAATTCTAACTACCAGCCCAGCCTCAAACAGCCACAAAACCCATTCAGCAGTCAGTCATGTTCAGTCATGAGAACTAGTGACTGAAGGGGGGCAGCCCTGAAAAAGTGGAACTTTGTAGAATAACGGAACTTAAAAGAACGGAACTTAAGTGAGTGTTGACTGTACCCGTATCTTCCCTAGCTCGTTCGCGGTTGAGAGCCAGGTTGGACTTGTATTCCCTACCGGATTAACCTGCGATTGCTGTCTTGATAGCACTTCTGTGGAAATGTCTAGAGAATGTCGAACCGATAGCAAATGTCGCACCGGTGATGTGCATTTTTTAATGTATATGTGCATGTACGGTACTATTTAAATAGGGTAGTAGTCCCAATGTCGCAATCAGCTGATCAAATTTTTTTTTTTTAAGAGACGGTTCGCGGAAGAACTGGAGGCGGTCGCGCGTTTTTGGCTCGTGCTGGCGTCTTTTCACTTTTCGAATTGGCGCGAAGTTGGGTGCAGCGGCAACAACAACAAAGGATCGATCGAACGATCTATCTTCCACCATGACGATGCTCCGGAGGCCGATACCCAATGAAAAGACACTTCTAAAATACAAGTAAGGGCTCTACAAATAGTCTATATTACCACTACCGGTGTAGCAACAAGCGCAAGCTTCAAAGGCGGTGTAGTCGTCGAGGAATGGTTGTTCTTGTAGTAGCAGGATTTCGAATCGCCGCACGCTCCCGAGGTCAACAAGAGGAAGGGGATTGAGCGCCGCAGCTCTTGCTTTGCTCACTGAACACTACTAGTATGTGGTTGCAGCTCCGACCTCCAAACTCGCTCTGATTGTGGCTCTCCACAAGTATTGTAGTATTGTAGAGCGTCGAACGACGTCGACTGGTGTGTTGGCCATGGTGTGGCACTCCAGTGGCGATTCGGAGGTCAACCAAAGATATAAAGTGACCCTTTAAAATTGTTCTGGTTAGGGTACACTACTACTTCTTCGATTGTTGCTTCAGGGGTCACTTTATTGCTTTGGATCACCTTCCTTTCGTGGGATTGGTGATACACGATCTATGAGCCCCCAGCCTCTACTCGGTGCGCACACCGTCTCTTAAAAGCAATGGGTGGTGGTCCATGGTCCGTGGTGAAGCTCGGCTCTGAGCCGGCGTACACGTGTACAGCGTACCTCGTACAGTCGTACCGGTGCAGCCGCACGAGGTCTCGTTCGATTCAATCGTAAACCTGCTACAGTTGTTCTGTGTTTAACGTCTGAAGAATGTCGCACCAATTTGCAATTGATCACTTGTCGCACCGGTGATGTGTTCATCTTTCGGGATCGGTGGAATTAGAAATGCTGGTCTTCGAAAATGTCGTCCGGAAGCTGGCATTGCCGTCGCATCACTCAAATAACGAGCCAAGGTTCCTGATGGCGTACTGTAGCCGCAAAACACACACGCAGAGATCCTCTCGGGACAAACGCATAAAAGCACCCAGCTGCAGTCTGCTAGCTAGCTACCGGTAGTCTGCGAAACAGACTATTGATGAACAGATCGATGGACACGCCAAGAGACAACGCAACGGCAGCATGGCAGCAAGCGTCTAGTAGCGGAGAGGCTCAGAGTTCACAGCTTCAGCTACTCCCTTATCAAGTCCAGAATCAGCATCAGTCAGAGGAGGGAAACATGAATACTGCGGATCAACAGCAACAGCCCGGTAGGTTCGGAATGCGTTCCTGTTGTTGACGTCCACTCTGAAAGCGCGTTTGCTCACACTACTGTATATACTTCTTGCTTTCATTCTCGTCTACCGTATAGGCAACCAACAATCGGCGCAGCAAACCTCAGAAACGGCGATTGCGATGGAACTCGCACGTGTTATAGTCCAGATGAATCAGGGTGATAACCAGGGGTCCGCTGGGAATCTCCCCACTTTAGGCCAACAAGCACCCGGTCCTATAGCCCCACCGCCTCCGCCTCCAGTAGCACCGACGGTTGCAGCGGTGGCCGGAGGTGGAGGGGAAACAGGAGGAGAAGGTACGGGAGGAGATTTGCCTTTTTGGAGTAATCAGCCAGAAGTCAATTGCCTGGCAGTCTTGTTGGTTCTGCAGAAGCTAGAGGAAGTGCAAAACGAACTCAACCAGCAGACGTCTCAGTTCGTTCAAATGTCCGCTGTCTTATCAAACATTCAGCAGTCTGTGGGCGGCGGGGCAGCAGCTACTAGCGTACCTCAAATGCCAGTTGCCCCCAATAACACCTCCGTCATGGAATTGATTTTGCCCCTTTGCAGGCAAGATCCATCGTCAATGCTCGGCGCCTTGGTGGCTGGACTCCTATTCACTTGCAAGAAGCAACAAGAGCAGCAGCGCATGGTGGAAAATCTTCAAGGGCAAATAGATAATTTGCAGCGCCAGCAGCTTGGAGGAAGAATACCTCTCATGAACCAGCAAACAGGGGGCAATCTACCGGATCCGCAGGCATTCACTTTGCCGCTGCCCCAATTATCCCCCTCGTCTTTGCAGTCGTTGTTGCAAGGTTAGTCCTTTATTGACCTGATGTTTCTATTCTTTCGTCCGCCTCGCCCATCTAACAGTCTCGAATGTTGCTGTTTCCTGTAAACTCTCCACTGCAGCGGTCTTCCAATCGCCACCACAACCGCAGCAGCAACCGCCAACACCGCAACAGCAGCCACAACCGGCCCAAAGGGAATCACTCTTCCAGTTCCTTGCCCAACAGCATCCAGCCCCCCTGCCGACACCACTGGCTCCGCTACAAGAACCGCGCAACTTGCAGCTCTTCAGGAATGCGGTACAAGAACAAATACAGTATGAGCAAGGTCAAGAAGCAGTTGACCTGCAACCACACGTGGCATCCACAGGCATAAATGGAAACACTGGCGGCACCGAAAACGATCGTATAGGATTGGAGCTTCTCCGTCGTCTTGCCACGGTACTGCGACAGGCTGCGGAAGAAAACATGAGTGTAGAACCCAATGCAAGTTATGCCCCGGTGCGAGATAACTCTGACATCCCACGAGTTGTCAACGTGCCTCAACGAGATCCCTCGAGGAAACATCGGAATCGTAAAAGGCGCAAAAGACGTCGTCGCCGCCGCCGCCATATCGATAAAGATGACCTCGATTACGATCATTTGAGCAGCAGTGTCGGCACGAGTTCTATGGAATACGAAGATTATGAAGATGATCTACGAGCCGAGGGGGCGGCGGCAGCCAAGAGACCTCGAATACACCATGTGGTTCCTAATAATATGGAAGCAGAAGCAGTGGGTATCATGGCAGCTCTCCCGTTTGCAGCTGCTGCCCCGGGTGTTGCAGCCGAACCCGTGCTTCCCCTGGGAGACGCTCAGGCCCGCATCGACAATGGCGGCGAAGATGACAATCATCGGGCAGTCATGCCACCTCCTCGTCAAGACGTGGAAATGGTATCCTCACTCAGTGATGCTGCCGAACTAGAGTCCACAGGCTCATCTGGAGTCTCCTCCATGACAAAGCGATCCACCATCTCCACAAAGGCCACTACTGGAAATTTGAAGTGCCCCTAATGCATGAAATCTGTGCGTGATGAACGAACTATTGCCGACTTCTATCATCTATGTCAGTGCATTTTACGTCGGAACTCTATCTATGTCGGGGCTGACCTCGGGCTTTGGGTTGATGCCGGAATCAAGCTTGAAAGGAAACCAGGAAAACATCCTCCATTGCGTCTATACGCGTGTATGCGTGAGCTTCCGAACTGCGTTTTAACTTTCGTACTAATAGAACACAGAACCAATTCAGCCAAAAGCCACTAAAAGCGCAACAACCCACAGTTAACAACCCACTGTCCCCCGTATTCTTGCCTGGCATCAAAATTGATTGAATGTATACCACGAGCTAGCTACACCAACTTTCCGTTGGACAATTGGATTCTTGTTTGCTCCAGTTTGCGGCTTGTATAGGGCACCATCCAAGGAAGTGTCTCTGACCTAATTTGTGCCCAAACTTGCTGCATCGCCTTGGTGTCGGCAGATGCAAAAAGTCCTGCTGCCTGCAATCGCTCTTGTTCCCATTCCAGCAACCCCACTCTCGTGGTGGATTGTTGCGGAGGCCTCGTTTCGAGGCTTGACGATACACTTTGTTCCTTCTTGCTCTGTCGTGGTGGCAGGCGATGCCGCAGAATCGCCAGGGTGGCACGACGACGTGACGAATTCGTATTGCCCACCGGAAACGAGGGACTTCGAAGGAATGAGATCTCGTAGCGGCCCGACAGGTTGTGGACGGCCATTTTCAAGGCATCCAGATCGTCCGGGACATTGACAAGTAGGACCACAGTACCAGAAGGTCGCAAAACGTTGTTGGACCACTCTGTCAGTAACCTTTGATAGTACGATTGGTGGCGACGCGACGGAAGACGAGTCAGAATCTTGTCGACCATGATGGGTCCATTGGGAAAAGAAGCATTGACATGATGATACAAGTGCAAGTGCGTGGCGGTGGACTTGGCATTCATTTGTGCGTGTTGGAGATGTCCCATATTCTTGTCGGTTCCGTGATAGGTTGCCGTGGGCCAGTACTTGGCGGCTTCCACAAGAAAGGTGCCCCGTTGGCAAAAGGGATCCCAAACAACCTCGTTGGGTTGTAGGTTGGCGGACCTGGCCACCACAAAGGATTCAATCCTTTTCGTGTTGGGATTATTATTATTGTTGTTGAGTTTGGGCAGTGGCCATCGTCGCTCCAAGACCATCAGTTCCAATGCATACTGTTTGGGAACGCTGCTGCTGTCTTGGTTGCGACTATTTTCAGCTCGCAATAGAAACGAAAACGTAGGATCCAAAGTCGAAGAAGCTTTTGTGTGCGGAACCCACCCCATACATTGTGTCATGATCTCGGAGATTTGATGACATGTCCTGCCCATGATGCCCGATGGTTCCGAGGATGTTTTCGCCCTAGACTGTCGTTGCTTGCCATTTCCTTGTTTGGAATTGCCGGGAGAGATGCAAAAGCTGCTGACGGTCTTGTCCTCCTCATGGTTCCCCAAATTCGACCATACAGCCTTGGCCCGTGACAGGTAGTCAGGAAGGTTTCTACTTCTAGTAGTCATCTCGTCCATTGCGTCACTGCTTGGATTGGCATTCCATTGTGCCACCACCACGGACAATCGTGTGGCAGGGAGAGAACGGCAAATCTCTGGCAGCAAACTGCAGTTGGCTGGCATTGCAAAATCCACCGTGGACGGCATGTAATCGGAGGGTGTTGCAGTGTGAATGATTGTCGCGTTAGTATTAGTGGATTGGGTCTGCTGAAAGTAGCTTGTCATTATGGATTCATAGTTGGATGAGCAAGGCACCACATTGTCCTCCTCAATGTTCCGTTTTCGTTTGCTACGACGCCTCTCTGGCATCGTCCGGGGAATCGTTGCCCGAAATAGTACGCAGCCTTTTGGAGTGTTGCTGCTGTCTGCTGGAGCATCAAAGTTGTCATTGCTGCCTTTCAAGGAAACGTCCAGACAAGGAGACGACACTTGCAAAGTCTTCTTCCATAATTGGGACGACACTTGAAATGCCGTTGCTGTAGTCGATGAAAGAGTTGACAATTGGGAACTCCACTGCAACGCAAGGAGTAGACCTATTCTTTGCCTCCAGAGTCGTCTTGCATCTTTCATTTCCTTGATCTACCTACCGGTACGGTGGCAACCATGGTGTTGCTAGGTGGTTTGCTCTTTTGCTTTTGCTGTTGTGCCAGCACCTGCATCAAACGTTTTGATGGCTCTTCTGGCTCATTTATCGAGAAAAGTTAGGAGATGAGTGGATTTAAGCAATCTTAGTGTTAAATCCTTTCAATAAATGCAAAACAGGTTGCAGAAACTGGCAAGAAATCCAAAAGATCTCTTCACATTTTTGTTTGTTGCGAGAGACTTGGCAAGAGAAAAGGAAGGGACCAAGAACACTTACTTTCACCATGGGGCGACTACTGCAAATAGAGAGGCTTTGTCCACTGCTAGTAGTGCTAGTCATCCTTCTGGCAAGGACGAGTAGCGCAGAAGAAGAAGTCAAGGGGTTGACGACCGGATCAGCGGCAGCTGCACCCGACACAGAAGACAAGACGGCCAATCTTCGAGGACTTTCGTTTCTTGGCTTTGGTGAAGAAGGCTCCGATACCAACCAACAAGAGGAAACCGACCCACCAAAACTAAAACAACTGCCTACTGCTATTCCAATTCCACCACCAGGATCTGTCAAACTGATTGAAAGTGTTCCCTGTGAACCAAACCACGAAAAGGCCAAGGCATTTGTCGGTCTGTTTGGCAGAATCGATTCCGGGAACGAAGCCTGTGCCGCCGAAGCAGATCCCGATTCGTGTGCCGGTGGATGCTGCCGCTTTGGAACGTACTTTTTGTGCGATCGAATCAATGCGTACACGGAACTACCCTGTGTCTGCAACCGCAACACGGCCGGCAATCACCCTCATCGAGGGCATATTCATTCCAGTAGTAGTAGTAGCACCACTGAAACCACAACTGAAACCAACAGTAGTGACAAGGAAAACAGTGACAAGAAGAACGAGCAAGAGACCAAGCAAGAGGATCCCAAACAGCAAGAGGACAATGACACAACTACTGAGAAGCCAAAGGAATCGGAAGAAACTTTCAAACCTAGAACGGGTTTGCTAAAGGACAAGCTTGACGAGGACGAGGACAAGGGTACCGTTCCTGCAAACGATAGTACCAACCGCGATGGTGAAGACTTTGAGGAAAATGAAGAACAGAACAAGGATGGACTGATTGACGCGGCTGCTAACTTTTTTGGTGTTGGCGAAGAACAAGACAACAATGACGCGTCCAATCAAGAAGAAGCTCCCAATGACGGTGATGCTGGCCCTAACACTGCTGACACAAGCAGCACAGAAACCACTGAAAGTGCAGCAACTCCAGGTGACAGTAACAACCAAGCCAGTGACTCATCTGCGAATGATGAAGCCGCTCAGGATAGTGTCAACAAGGCATCGTTCTTGACGGGTGGTTTTGGAAATAGTAACAGTGATACGGATACTACTGCGAGCACAGGTGAAAACACAGATACAACTAACAGTGATACAGCAGCAAACACAGATGACAACAATGATGCTACAACCGCTGAAGGAGACAACGGTGAAGCAACACAGAGCGAATCCAACAACAATGAAATCACGAATGGTGGCGATGATGGTGGAAACCACAATGCACCGGGTCCCGAGGTCAATGAAGCTTCGTTCACGCTTGGATGGGGCGGGCCGCCTGACGACGGGTATGATGATCCGGGTGCTAGCAAGCATAATCTAGGTGCCGTCTCTAGTAGCAATACTGCTCAAGACTACGGCAACGACAAGACAGAGACAAACGATGCCGCATTCTTGTCAAATGGGTGGGGAGGAGACCCTCCACCTGATAACGAGTCAGACAAGTCGGGGCACCGGGGTCGTGAGCTGGTGGATTTTGACTACGACCACGGTCCCATCAACGAAGCAGTGTTTCTGACTCCATTTGGTGGAGAGCCCAATTACTAGCTAGGAGACTGACTCGACGCGCAACACGTGCCTGTGGTCGTGTGAAGCTCAGCAAATCAGCAAATCCTAATTAGTACTTAGTTAGTAAGTTTCTTCATGCATGTTATGTAAGAAGTGTGAAAGTCTGCCAATGGCAAGATAACTCACAAGACTTGGCTGGCAGAAAGCACTTGCAAGCAAGCAATGTAGAGGTCTGCTCGGGTGACCATGAGAGATCTTCAGGGAACCGAGTACTAATGTAAAGTATGGCAACCTCACAGCTCCAGGGCTTTCACTGAAGGCTTGGCCCATCGAGATTTCATAATGTGTTGAGCTCCGAATCGAAGATGTCAGTTGCAAGGACGATGTTGACAACAACCTGGCGGAATCGTAGTACTTCTGATTTGTCATTGCCAACGAGATAGGCATGCTGTTGCCCATAAGCATGCGTCAAGCCATGCATGTCCAACGAGTGTTGCTCTGCGATACTCTTCTCTTTGTACTGTTTAGCCATGGAAGGATCCTCCCTCATCAACTGGGTATTGGAAACGCCGCGATGATCAAGGTCGTGAATCAATGCAGAGTAAACAATGCCAAACAGTGTCAGTGGATCAGAATTGATACCATGGGTACAGTCTTTTAGAAAGAGATGGCAGAGCGAGTGTTATGTAAGAAGTGTGAAAGTCTGCCAATGGCAATGGCAATGGCAATGGCAAGCTAACCCGCACACAAGACTTTGCTGGCGGAAAGCACTTACAAGCAAAGCAATGCGGAGGTCTGCTCGGGTGACCATGAATATAATTGTGAGAGATCTTCAGGGAACCGAGGACTAATGTAAAGTATGGCAACCTCACAGCTTATGGCTCAAATGTGACCTAACATACAAAGTTGTGGAGCTTCCGTTCGTATTTGTCGACTCTTCTGTGGCACACCACCACTACTTCCTAGCTATAGAACTGGCAACACCAGCAAATGATAGAGAAAGCAGATACGATCTTATGTACAATGTCTAGCTAGCTAGCTCTAATAGAGCTGGCTCAGGTGGGAAGCAGGGCTAAACTTCAACGTCAGTGTCCAACGAAGGGGCAACCTCTGAGCAAGAGGAATCCGAAACAGAAGTGTCTAACACGGAAAAGGAGGAGAAGGAGGAGGCAGAGTATGTGGTTTGCACAGGAGATTTCACTGGGGCCTGGACAGACAAATGTTCGGCTTCTTCGATGAGATTCAGAACAATCTCTTTTCCGCGAGCTTCCCACTCCGCTCTGTTTTGGAGAGCATAGGTCAGGCATTCATCGCTGGAGACACCAAAGACTCCACACTCCTTGAGCTTTCTAGCGAGTGGAATAATGTAATTGTCAAAGAATCCAAGCTCGCCCTGGAACCAGAACTTGCTAGGATTGGCCGCCATGCGGCCTTGCTGGAAGGCGGAATGCAGCTCCAAAAAGAGACGGCGATTCCACTTTTGATAAATATGCCTGAGTCGAGATGCAACGAAGGAGAACAGGTAAGCAGACTGTCACTCGACTCTGAGGAAAGATACCTAGCCCACACAAGAGGACTTACCAGTGTTGCATTGTGTGGCTCACATCAGATGCCTGCATAATGTGCTCCAAAACGACAGTTGCACGCATGTCATTGTTGTTGGAAGTCGCAGGGCTTTCACTGAAGGCTTTGGCCCATCGAGATTTTCGTAAGTTGTTGAGCTCCGAATCGAAGATGTCAGTAGCGAGGACGATGTTGACGACAACCTGGCGGAATCGCAGTACTTCTGATTTGTCATTGCCAAAGAGGTAGGCTCTTAATCCTGTCATGCTGTCATCCATGAGCATGCTCCAAGCCATGTCGAGTGAGTGCTGTTCAGCGATACTCTTCTCTTTGTACTTCTTAGCCATCGAAGGATCCTCCTTCATCAACTGGGTATTGGAAACGCCGTGATGGTCAAGGTCATGAATCATTGCGGAGTAAACAATGCCAAACAGTGTAAGTGGGTCAGAATTGATACCATGGGTATAGTCTATTAGAAAGAGATAGTGGTACAGCCGAGCACACCGTGAGTTACGTGCCAACACCAAAAGAACATACCGGAAAGCGAAGAGTGCAGCACGAGACGTACCATGAATGTGAGACAAGACGCGTCTGTGAGCGTCCTCTCCCTTCTTGAAGGCGTCCAGCCCAATATCTGGACTAACAACGCGGCCTAAAAGCTTGCTCACTGCCATTGTCACATGGCATGCGTGCTCAAAGTCTGGTTGACGAGTATAAGAACAAAGGTGCATGTGATGGTGAGATTCCACGCAGACAGACACGGAACAAGCTTCAAGGTGAAATGAACTGGCTTACTGTGGAAGGGATTGTCATTGTACTTGGCGGCAATGGCAGAGACATGCTCGTGTAGCTGGACCGCCACATGTCTGGGAATATCGATCGCCTCTGGGGACTCTTGCGACATCGAGTTGTAGTCAAACTCAGGAAGCTTGATTGCTTCGACAACCTCCTTCAAAGGGCAGTCATTGGGGTTGTAGGTGATGGCACCGCTGGATGATGCACCATGGTTGGTTCCTTGGACGGTTCTTCGACGAAGTACAATTTGCTTGAGGCGATCCAGCAACAGATCAGTCATCCATTGCACCAGACGTTCAGTCTTTTCAGCCTTTTGCGCTGCGTCGGGGTCGCCCACAGGTGGTTTGGAACATTGAGCAAACTCCAAACTTGTGCTCTTGGTTGTTTTGTCACTATTGTTTCGGTCAGGAAACACCCAAAAAGTGTTCAGTACGCCTTTGCCTAAACAAACGAAGGAAAGGTTGAGGACACCCATGCATCAGCGAATCCGATGTGGTGCATTCAAGGCCAACTTACCCTTGGCCATGACTGCGTCCTCGCGGCTCTCGAGCCAGTGCCCTTTGTTGGCTGCCACAAGGAGGTTGGCAGTGGCATGGCTGACATGGATCATAGAACGCATTCCTGTGCTTTCCATGCGAGATGCAGTGTTGACTGTGTCACCAAACAACTTTTAGCAGGAGGCGTGACTGTGAGGAATCGACACGACGGAGCTGAAGCGACAGGTGAATCAAAGTGACGACCTACCTGGAACCTAGCACGTTCTCCTCGCAACACCCCGGCCGTAACAGCCCCCGAATGCAAACCAAATCTCATGCTCAGGTCGGTAGCTGGAGCCAGAGGCAATAAGCGAGAGTGTAAGGTATCTCTTGCTTGGTACATGAAGCGCCAGATCGGAAGTTTCAGGGTAAAAGTCTACGTACTGTCTGGCCCAAGTTTAAGTTCGAGCTTTCTGACCAGAACTTCCAATTTCTTTCTGCACTCGTTTGAGAATCTTGCCATGATCACTGCAGATGGGAGTCAAGGTTGGCAATGGTGAGATGCTGGAAGTGACAAAGATATGGCATGAGGAAAGTGCTGGTACTCCAGTAGAAAGGTAAAAGACATACCTGCGTGATTTGGCTGAGGATTGGGCAAACCCGCAACGGCGACTGCAAGGATTTAGGCAACAACAATGCTCACGGTAAGAAATCTGAAAACGAACAGCTTTCAATCAATCCAAAGACCAGTGCTTACCATAACAATCCCCGATCTGTATGTTTCGTTCGAGTGAGAGTTGAAAGAGATTGAGATAGATGATAACAAACTTTTCAACAACCTTTTCCAAAAACTTCACAATTCGTACCGTTTCAACTTTGAAGACTTTTCGACGCTTTGCAATGCAGTCAAACTCTCCATAGACAGTCTGCAAGAGAGTGAAGACCTGACTGGGGTCGCGAGTACTGCTCCAAGCCTGTGCCAGTAGGACAAAGAAGGAACGGTGTTAGTACCGTAGCCACATTGTCGCGCCAGCCAAAAAAGCCGCCAAAGGCTCACCGTGAAGCCAGCCAGATCTGGATGGTTGAGATCGAGTTGAGAAGCGAAATGTGAGTGACGTCGGGGAAACCTGAGGCAAAGCCAACGAGTATGTACGTGCCGTCCACCGGCAAACTGACCTGCGAACATTACAGTTGTGTGCGGAAACAGGTCAGCAATTGGTTTGACACTTTCGTCGTTCTTGTCAAAGCCTCCGCTGAGATACGACTTGACTCGTTGATTGGGTGACAAGAACTCCGAAGGGTCGAGGGTCGGGAAGAGACTTTGCACAATGGCAGAAGATTCCTTGGCGGTCGACACAACAATACTCTGCCTTTGTTCCACGAGCCTATCATAGATAAAGAACATTCCAGCAGTGAAGACAAAGATGAAGAGGATACAGATGGTAATGACGACTGGCATGCTTGTATGATATTCCTTGAACATGGCTTGTGAGGGATACACGTGGACCGCGTAAGGGCAACCACGTTGATTGATCTTCACTCCAGTTCGAGACCCGTCATGGATGACAAGGCTGTCTGCCAAGTAGGTGGAAACATTGTGCCCGTCAAACTCGGGGTCGTGCATGTCACCACTTCCAACCAAAAAGACTTCCGCTCCGTTGATAACGTACGTGTAGGCTCCATCGCAGGCGTTCTCCAAGACCATGACAAAACCACGGGCGTTGTCCGGCAAGATTCCCTGGAAGTAAGTTTGCCAGGAGAATTGAAAGTTCAAGGCTCCCACGACCTCGTTATGGTCGTTGAAGTTAGCAAAGATGGGATAGGAACCATCAATGAGTGGATCACCACCGTAGTCGACGGGCTTTCCCGCTTGAGTACTCAGGAGCTCCGAGTACCAGGCAGTGGAATAGTCAGGACTGGACGTGTTCCCTGGCTCTGCAGTAAGAAAGCCCCCGAGTGCGAACTCTCCGCCAAGGACAATGTCCAGACGCTCTTCGCCATCGGGGAAGGAACGAACGTTCAAGTTGATACCGTCCAGCGCTGTCACAGGTGCAGATTGCCTGTCAGTGAGAAATGGGGCAAAGGCATGTGAGATGACAGGAACGGTGTTGAGACTGAAGAGATGGGTACTTGAGCGATGATAGGACTTACCAGACCGGGAAGAAGGGTGTCTCGTTGGCAGCCGGGTGACCAATCTCCCAGTAGGGTGTGTACTCGAAGATCTTGGGCTGAAACAAGGTGAAGGGTTCTTCCTCGACTTCTTCTTCGGCCAGGGCAGTGGTATTGGACAATCTGCGGCGGGGATCCCTGCTGCGAAAGGGAGTTGCCAAGACCTGTCTCCTGTAGTCTTGGAGAAGTCGTGCTCGGGCGTTGTCATCTGTAGCGGTTCCTTGGAGGGAGAATCCATTCTCGAGCAGCTCCATCTGGTAGGCAAAGCCTTCCGCATACCACTCTCCATTCTTGACCGAGTATTCCTCCCATCCCTCTCGGTTCTCTTCAGTGACGAGTGGCAAGACAGACATGTGAAGGACTTTTGACAGGATCCTCGCAGATGCAGCTCGTTCGTGGAAGGAATCCATGGTGACAAAGGGCCACTTGTTTTGACTGCTCGTTGTAGTGCTTTCATTGACGCCGCCTTCCATCATTCCACGTGCGGTAAATGCCAGGCACAAAGATCCAATGGAACCAATCTTCTCTTGAATGATCGACTCGAAGGATGCCACAAGCTTGTGTGCTCCTCCATGAAAGTGTTGCTCAAACTCATCGGTCTCGGCGTTTCGGGTGATGAAGAAGACCGTCAAACTGACAGCAACGGCAGCGAGGAACAAGACCAACAGGACGAGGACCTTTTGCTTGAACACGCGCCTCGACTCCTGTTTGGCAATCTCGTAGGACGAAGAAGCTTCCTGTTGACCCTTGGAGGTAGTGGAGTTGCGATAGTGAGAGCTCGTTACGCTCACTTCATCATCCCAAGGAAGATCGTTTTCACTCATGGTGGCAGGATTTAGTTAGTATGCTTCTACTAGACTACTGGGTTGTTTTGTGGCAACTGAATTGGTGCAAGGAAGAACGAGAATCAGATTTGTGGTCTGATGATTAAAATTTGAAACCCAAAGCAAACTCGAAGCAGCCTGGAGCCTGGAACCCAAAAGTTCTGCCGACAAACCTGGCCGAAGGCCTCATAGTCTTTCGTGGCGTAACAGAAATGAGATATGGCCATAGACGCTCGATAGATTCACGGAGGGAAGTGTCCGCGGCAGCCTGAGGGGAACATCCGATGATGCGAGTGATGAGCCAGTCTATATTGCATGATTGCGAGACTTATTCTTTACAGTCGTATGCATAGCTCAGTTTTGTTTCTGGAACCGGAATTCTGGGTTCCGAACCAAGTCATTTACAACCGAAACATGCATGAAACATACCTACATCCAATGAGCTATATAATGTCTAACTAATGTCTTTCGAAGGGAAATAAATGAACTATCCATTCGTCCATCCCTTGCCGGTTGGGTGGCTCAAACGCTCAAACCAACTCTTACTTCCGAGTTTTCCGAGTTCAGTTGTACTGTATCGCCAAAAGAAAAGGTGGTAAAGGTACACAGTATTTTCTAGGTGGTAAAAAGACCTTAAATCATGCGGTAAAACATGCAGTTGAAGGTGGTAGAAGTCGGTGGGAGTGGGTTGAAGGTGGTAAGCCATGCACACATGGGGGTCCAAAGGAAATAGTCTGGTAAACAAAGTGATTTGAGCCACCCCCAATGCAATGAACATTCACCATTCACCTGACCAAAAGCAAGTCATTACAGAAGAAGACCCTTAAGCCATTTCTTTCCACCATTTGGATGACTACACTATGACCACTATATATACCCACCCTGGCCTGTGCAAACTTTGTACGGTACTAGTGCTTCCCCGCAGAACACAGCAAATCAAAAAAATGCAAAAGATACTAGTAGTCTACATGTGCGACGTGCCCATGACTGTCGATTGATTGACATCGGTACGGTTTGCCTCTCGAGCCATGTACGTGGCAGCTACGTGGCTAAGCTTGAAAGAAAGGCCTATCTATGCAGTAGCTTTTTGGAATGGCTTACATGATCCATCTTTGGCCATTACGCCATCACATGCATGTACATTGACCACTGGCTGAACAGTTGATTCAGGATTCAGGTTGCCCCAAGCTACTAGACTATTTGCTTTTGCAGGCTTCGCAAACACCCTGGAAGCCAAGCGGGTTGCGGTTGCTCAGTACGTACTTCATGTAGCCTATTTCAACGATGGATACCGGTACTTTCTGTACACGGATCACAACACCTCTCGGGCCCTGAGGGCATGGGAACTGATTGAAGCGCAGCTAAGCCAACCGAATGATCAAGACTGCAAAATGACGCCCCTTTATCAGATTCTTGCTTCTTGTAGACTCCTATGGCATGGAGACTTACGTGTCTCTGTCTTGACAGCCGCTGAGTGTCCTCTCGCTTTTGCTGCATTTGATAAATGCCTCTCTCACACGTATACGGCAGCGAGTTCGTTGGGTTCGGTCCTCGTGCTACGATCTCCGCAGCCAATATCCGCTTCGGTTGCATACCTCTCCTCTTGTTATCCGGAGCGATGGATCGATCGACCGAAAAGGAGTGACTCGACAATGGTAGTTCACCGGCTATCGGCAGTACACGTGTAAGAGAACAGAAGATATTTGCTTGCGGCAGGGTTTGCGACCATCGACGAAATGATACGCAATGGACTTGCAACGACTTAGCTTCCAGCTTGTCTTTTATTGCCAAGATTCAGGGAGGGGCTTCCTGATGCTTCAGCAACTAGTAGGTGTCTGACGGTAAAAGCAATGTTCATCTTGGTGCTTCTGGGGCCACATCCAACGTGAATTGCGATCGCTTTTCCAGCATCATCGTCAGCAATGAGACCATCCTGGTTCTTGTCTAGGAGAAACACAATGGCTCCTGAGCAGCCTTTGTAGGTATTAATATCATGCCCAAATGTTTTCCCGTCGCTTGAAAGCTGAGTGATCACACCAGTGTAAATACATGTAGACACTGAGTGATCCGGTCCAAACACTTGAAGGATGTCGTCCTTGCTGAGGCTTCGATCCCACCCATTATTTGCGTAGATGTCGTTTTCACCTGTAGACATGAAATCAAACTCATAGTTGCGATATACCGCCATCCCAATTCTTTGCCCGATCTTGTACTCAAAATTCGGGCCAACGACTTCGAATGAAAGGTTTGGATCGGTTAACTCAAAGGCTTTCTTTCGGGCAGGATCTCCACAACTAATATCAATCCCATACGACCATGGTATGATTTCAACGCTACTGTTCTCTGCGTCGGAGATGAGCTCGACATTGATGGTTTCGCTTCTATCAATATCGTCCCCTTTGCGCTGAAATTCAAGAGCTTTCGTGGTTCCGGTGTCCGAATTCATGAGTACTGGCACTCCACTAGCATTGTACTTCACTCCTTTTACGGTATCGTTCACCACATTGTGGAGTGCAGTGATCGGTATGGCTGAAAGACGCTGTTCAGACTCGGGCTTCTTGATTGCGGGCGGTTTTTGTTGAGTACAATCTCCATACCTGCCTATTACTTTCTGCTTTTTCTCTGAAGGTGGAGTGGAATCCTGGGTTGCCAAGTGAGGATTCTGAATGAGGCCGGCTTGCCCATGTCGATCTTCCGCATTCAGCATTTCATCAACAATCTGCACTCCAAACGCAAAGGCTTTCTTTGCAACAACAGAGGCAAGCTCCTCGGCGATTTCCAAACTCGAATAGGATGGCCCCACTACGGCCTTTCTCCTTTTATCCACAATACATTCCGGTACGCACAACGTTCGACAAGACGAATGTGTGCTCCCTCCAGACGAAACGCTTCCACTAGATCGAGCTCCTCCTATCATCGTCCATGTCGAAAGGGTTGTTGCTTTGCTGAAAATGGCACAGTGCGCAAAAAAAAGTCTTCGCTGATGTCGGTTTCAAGCGTGGACAAACCAGTCATGCATCCCGATTTGTGTAGAAATCAGTAGGATTTTCTAGCTTTAGCTAGCTAGAGAGTACTGTACCTGGTAGATCTACATGCAAATCAGTAGTACATCCTCTAGAAAACCAGTCCGATTTAGCCAATCCCCCCTATTAGAGTTAATCCGATTCCAACTCGCAACTCAACTCTCTAGCTAGCTAGTACATGTAGGCTCTTTGCTACATACCTGGTACATGTAGCTAGAGCTAGCTAGGACTCGGTTAATCAACTCGGTAGACCCAATCGATTTCGGTTCAAAACACCAGCGTAAATGACCTACTCAGCCAAGAATCTGTTACGTAGAAACTATACTGCATACGGAACAGCTCCAAATCACACACCAATCCCCTCCATCACAGGCTCCACCTATCCCCAGCATTGGTCATTCCCTCAAAAATATGGTCATCGAGAGAGCTACTTTAATGGGACAGTGAAGTTGGTGTGAGAAAAAGCACACCAATTTACTTAAAGCCCCAGTTCCACCAAATGTGTCACACCTAGTGCCGATCTGACATCCCCTCATGCAAGAGGGAGCCCAAGCAAGCTCGAAAACGTCCTCTAAAAACGCGGTGGATTCATAGCAAAGATATCCCAACAGCTTTTTGTTTGGTTGGGGCATTCCTTTTGCTGAGCACTGACATCACTTATATCCATCCTCTATCACAATCCATCCTCTATCCTGTGTGTGCTTTCACTCTGCAAAGATGGAAGAAATGAAGAAGGAGACCATACTCCTCGACACCGAACAACAGAGCCTGCTCTTACGCTCAAAGAAGAAGAAGTTGACGTTCAAAGAAGAGAACGCCCTTTTGCTTCCAAGAAGATCCGCCATTCGTGCCACCTCCAAGTTTCTTGGCATGAGGAGTTTTGGACCTGTACGGTAGTCGATATACCCTCAATTAATTTAAGTCAGCGGAAGCTGCGATACCTCGGCAGAAAGACAGATAGAAGAAGGATGACATGTTTGAGATTGCACCCTTCTTTCAAGGTAGGCCTGGCGGCAACACACGACGGCGCCCCGTATCATTCCCTCATTATAACCTTCTTTTTTATTTAAGCTAACCCTGGCTTGCCGCCCGCTAACCATAATTTTACAGCTGTCACTCCTCTATGTACCTGTAACTTTTGTAGCTTCTGCTAGCTTAATGTGTTGAGTGCACTAACCTTGAATAATCATGATTTATTCCTACCCCTAAATCTGTAGAACCTTCAATTTCCAGTTTTGTTGGCTTATGCCTATCTATACCCCTATATTTTGGCTTCACCGGAACAGGAACAAGTAGGAAACAGGAAATTCGGCATTTTTTCAGCGTTCGTCTCCTGTTTCCTCAGTTTGCTGGCTACTTGGATCCCAATCCAGCCATTGTAGCCAGCTACGGTACCGTAGGCAGAGAGTTACATCGATCCGTGACAGTGGCAACAGTACCGAACACACTCAGGTTCGGCTTTGCTCGCTACGGTTACCTCGCATTGTATCCTTATGACAAATACACGAACAACGGAATATTCTCAATCCAGCCATCGTAGCCAGCTGCCATATGCTAGTGGCAACAGTACCGAAAGTTCGGCTTTGCTCGCTACATTTTGTTACCAGTACCTTGCATTGGATCCTTATTCACTATGCTAAAAGCTAGTGTAAAGATCTTTCGAGTGTTTTGAGTTTGAGAGAATGAAAGTTATGAGAGAGATTAGAAAGCTATGAAAACTAATCAACGAGAGAGATCATCATCAAGGGATCGTAGATCTGGTCTCCCGCGGGAGACTATAAAGTGTGATAGAGTAGGTTGCGGTAGTAATTCTACGTATCTCCACGATCCTAAAATGGAACACGTGGAAGATTTGTCTAGCATGGATCTAGTAGCGTGGAAGTACTCCATGCTGGCTAAATATCTAGAGCGATGTTTCATCATCAACCTAGTATGACTAGAGCGGTCATTGAGAACCCTGTCTCAAATGACTATTCACGAGAGACTCAGTCATGAGTCGAACTCAAACCCTATCTAGGATCGAGTCGTGAATAAGGCCAAGAGCCGTGTATTGCATTCGCCCCCTGACAAGGGTCACAGAAGGCGCGACAGCAGTCGGACAAGGAGAACATATGATTTAAAGTGCGGGGCACTCTCATGAGATTTGGATGTAGACATGTGCGTCGCACGATGGCAATCCTACAAGGGGATCAGGCCTTGTATGGGTGTATATACCTTATGTTCCAAGTCTGGTAGACTGTGCCGCCATTGGCGGTAGCATGTCGGAGCCGTACAGTGCCATTGTCATTGACTCGGTCTATAGTGTAAGGACCTTTGTACTTTGGCTGACCGTACTTGCGGTGCTGATACTGTTGAATCATCACGGTATCGTTGACATTGTATTGATGAGGGACACGCGTCGCGTTTTCCCTATCGTTGTTCTGTTGGATTAGTCGTTGGCGACGTTCCTTGATGTACTTCCAGTTGGCTTCGAACCGGACGTTGTGAATCGCGTCACGATTGAACACGAGCTGCACGGGCGTTGCACGCAAGGTGGTATGAATCGTGGCATTCATTGCAAAGCGAACCGCCGTGAGGACTCCATCCCAGGATCCATTCACGAGGTCGTCTTGGCACTTGATGTTTTGAACAGCGATCAAGTTGCGTATGGTCTGATGAGCACGCTCGACCATAGAGTTGGCTTGAGGGTTATGCGTAGTGATGAACTTGCGACGAAGTCCATATTCATCCCGGAGAGTCTTTTTGACCTCTGCGCGGAACTCACGTCCTCTATCCATGATAACCTCAGCAGGCCATGGATACCGAGTAAGCCACGTTTGTTCTAGGACGATGGCTACTTCGTCTGCTGCCTGGAGCAGATCTCTGCAATCTTGAACCATCCGGTTACGGGATCAATCATTGTAAAGCAATGAAGTGTGCAGGAATTTTTTTTCTTAGGTCCCCGACGTGTAGGGACCTATCAGGTCAATACATAGTCTTTCCCAAGGATCCCTCGCAAGTCTTTGGAGGCATCAATCCCAGCTTACGCGTCTTGGGTTTGTTCATCTGGCAGCTTGGCAACGCTGACATACGGCCTGCACAGTCTTGCGCAGTCCTTTCCAGGTGTAGTGTTGGTGATGGTCAGTTCTGTGCAGTCTCGCCAGGATGCTCAGTACACCATGGTACCATCGACTAGCTTCTTCTGCAAGTCTTAGGTACGACGATCTTGTCGTCTTTGACTACTAAGTCGTGACTTATCCCCTCTGGGGAAAGATTGCTTCTTGTAGCGTTTGGCTTGTCCCTGAGGAGTTTCTGATATCGTTGTCGTCCTTCTGACGATGTTCGATCTCGGAACGAGAGAGGGAACTCGCTAAGGAAGTCCTCTTCGTCTGCAGCCATGAGCTCAGCAATCCCGCTGGCTTCCATCTGTTCTAAGAACCATCTTGTTGGAATGTTAAGTCTGAAAGCATAAGCGACGATGTTGTGCTCACCCTTGATGTACCGTAGTTCAGGGCCGTATTCTTCCAGAATAAGGCGCCATCATTACGCGATCGGTATTGAATTTCTTCATGTAAATTCTGTGGTCCGTATGTAAACAATCTTCTGTCCTAGAAAAATTACGGAACTCTTCAGAGTTCTACGATACGAGAAGTCCTTCGTAACGGTTGTGTGTCTGAGCAGGGTAGTTCCTGCTGTAGAAGCGATAGGTTTTCCTTTCTGGGAAGATTACTGCACCTAGTTGAGTATCACCGCATCCGTGTGATAACAAATGTATCGTTGAAGTCAGGATAAGCGAGACAAGGTTTCTTTGCTGATGATCTTCTTCATCTGGCTAAAGGCCTTGGCGTGTTCGTCTTCCCATTTTCCACTTCGTTGTTTTGGAGTCAACAAAGCGAGTGGAGCCAGTAAATGTGATCGTACTAATCCACATGTCTCGAAAGTATTCACTAGTCCAATGAATTACGGAGTTCTTTCTGTTGGTAGGGGGCGATATTCTGGATCCGTCTATTTTCTTGGTTAAAGGTTGGATCCCTTCTCGATAATCCAGTAACCTAAGTATTCCAGTTCTCCTCTTGCGAAGAAGGACTTGGTAGCATTGATCTTAAGTCCGCTTCTCGAAGCCTTCGGAGAACTCATCCAGCTTTTCAATGTGATCGCCAGATCGCCGTTGTTAGGATGAGTAGACTCATCAATGTATGCACGGACATTTTCTAGGTCTGCATGTAGTGTTATCTTCTCTGGAAGATGTCGGGACTATTACATAGGCCCATTGGCAACCTCTGGTATCGTACTTTCCCCCGGGATTACGATAGTATACAGAGTTGTTCTCGAGTGAGGTGACAGCTCGATTGTGATAGTATCCATGTTCAGTCGAGACTATGGCGTACTTGAATCCTCTGGTTCAAGAGCAGTCCTGTATTTTTGGATAGATAAGGCTTCCGCTTAATCCTTTTGTTTAGTTCCCAGGAAATCAGAGATGAATCGTACAGATCCATCCTTTTTGGAATGATAAAAGTTGGTGCCGCCCATTCGGAACGGTTTACCTTCTTGAGTATCCTGCTTCGCAGAGACGTTCAACCTCCATCTAAGAGTGTTGGTATGGACACGTGGAATAGGATAAGCCTAGCGTGATAGGGTTTAGCGTCAGGGAGAAGTTCTACTCGTAGTCGTCCATCTGCCACTTTCCAAGAGTGCCATCGAATAGGTCAGAGTACTTCGTAATAAGGAATGAAGCGTTCTCTCTCTTCCTTTCAATGTTTGACTTTGGCAAAACTGCCTTAAAAGTCACTTGTCGTATTTCGCATCAAGAACTTCTTGAGACATCTGCATGTCATCAACGGAGTAGGATCAGGAATGAAGAAATTTTTCTTCTTCATTGGTGTCGCTTATTTCATAGGAATAGATAGCCGTCCCACCACTGACATGTAGTGAAATCGAACTTTATAATCCTAGATCGAGAGAGTATGTCTCGACCTATGTATCATGTTCATGCGCCCCCAGTCTTGTGTCGTTGTAAATCCCATTCGATAATTCTATCATTCGTGGTATTCAGAAATCATGAATGCACTTTTGCATTTCGTGCTGTGTTTTAATTCTCCTGCAGGGGTAGTCCACATGTTTGGACGCCCCAAGATCCTTCATGCGTAATTCTTAGCATGAGTTTGAGCAATCATAAAGTTCCGGATGCTCCTGTACCAGTAAGCAACGGAGTGAACGGGGTTGGTTTCCCTTTTTCTCGCTTGTTAAATCTAAATAGACGATAGGTTGAGGTCTCTTGTCTTTGCGACGTTTAGAGGTGGTTGGCCACGGACGAGGTTAACGATAAATAGATCATCAGAGTCTAGTTGAGCAGCTTCTAGGCAATCATCTAATTTGCCGTAGAGTTCATCGGTTGCAAACAATTCTTGTTTACTAGTTAGTGAGATATCTTCATCACTTTGGTATGAGAAATCGGAACATGGTTCCGTTGAGTCATCATCCTGGCCTAATCCTCAGATAGAGATTTCTCCATCCAAGTGATTGAAATCGATAGAGGAGTTGTCCTCGTTATCAGAGTCTTCTGATTTGCGCTTGGCAACATGGTTGCGAAGTTTGCAGGTGGTTGCACGAGTATCGTCGATCTCGGTGTCTTCGTCATTGTCGACGAGAGGAAGAATGGGTTTGTCACGCAACTGTTTCTCGAAGTTGCTGAACGCATGCTTTCCTTGAGCCATCTTCATGGTGAAGGAATAGGTTGAGGGTAGCTGAAAGCTATTGTGTTTGTTAACAAAATGCACTACGCTAAAAGCTAGTGTAAAGATCTTTCGAGTGTTTTGAGTTTGAGAGAATGAAAGTTATGAGAGAGATTAGAAAGCTATGAAAACTAATCAACGAGGCAGAGAGATCATCATCAAGGGATCGTAGATCTGGTCTCCCGCGGGAGACTATAAAGTGTGATAGAGTAGGTTGCGGTAGTAATCCTACGTATCTCCACGATCCTAAAACGGAACACGTGGAAGATTTGTCTAGCATGGATCTAGTAGCGTGGAAGTACTCCACGTTGGCTAAATATCTAGAGCGATGTTTCATCATCAACCTAGTATGACTAGAGCGGTCATTGAGAACCCTGTCTCAAATGACTATTCACGAGAGACTCAGTCATGAGTCGAACTCAAACCCTATCTAGGATCGAGTCGCGAATAAGGCTAAGAGCCGTGTATTGCACTTATGACGAATACATGCAAAACCGAATATTGTCAATCCAGCCATTGTAGCCCGCTACCGTACAGTTACATCGGCGACAGTGTCAACAATACCGAACACACTCAGGTTCCGCTTTGCTGGCTACACTCTGTTGCCGGTATCTTGCATTGGATCCTTATGACGAATACATGCACAACCGAATATTGTCAATCCAGCCATTGTAGCCAGTTGCTACGCTCCATTGCCTCACCATTACAATGAATACAGGAATATTGTCAATCCAGGCTCCACAAGCACTGTTCCAACGGGAAAATGGGTATGAACACAGAAATCACCACCAAAATACTAGGAAATAACAAGGAGGGATGAATCCGGTAGGAGGATCAACTCTCTTGTGTGTTGTCGTGTAGCCTCCTCCGGTTAACTGTTGCCTCTTCAATGACTCGATGACGTTCGTTCATGCTGTTGGTAGGGCTGGAGTTAACAGTCTCCTCTGTAGAAGAGGTAGCATAGCGATCGTTCGTTGGTTGGAAAAGGACTCAACAATGGTAGTTCATCGGCCGTCAGCAGTGCAGCAGAGAAAACAACAAATAGATATGAGTTTTGTTTTCTGTGCTCAACTGCAGATGACCGGAGACTTACCATTGCTTTTCAAATTGCACCAACTTGGCCGTCATGGGCCGAGAACTGACTGCCTTCCCGCGGTCCATAGGATTCAATGAGGGATGGCTTTCCAATCTGCACCGGAGAAGGACGGCTTGAGTGAGGCTTGGATAACAGAGATAATAGAGGTGCGACCGATTCGATTCGAATAATTAAAACAACTCACCTGTTGATGGCCGAGATCAGACTGCCTTCCCGCGGTCCATAGAAATTCAATGAGGGATGGCTTTCGAATCTGCACCTTCAATAACAATCTTGATAATAGAGGCTTACCTCGAACAGTACCGAACCAGTCGTTCGATCGATCGATCGATTCAACATTGTTGTCGGCCAAGCTTGGATTTACCTCCTGTTTACAATAGGAATTCAACGAGGGAGAGATGTTTTGCTGCGCCTTCAACAATCGTACTCAATCAGTTTATCCTTAACCTTAGTAACCTCAACTGTTCCTTTTCCACGAATCAATCTTAATCTTTCGAAAGGGAACTTGTTACTTAACGATACACATGACGGTTGATTCTGCAACTGAAGTGCGGCTACTCTATTTTACACAGTAAACGCCCGCAAATCGATTTCAGAGTGCAACTGAGGGGGTACCGGTAACCAAAAGGAGCGTCGTCTCATGGAGACGTAATACCAAAGAAGGGGGTGAGGGCTCAGGCAGATAGACTGCCGAGGTAATGTTCCTTTGTGTGGATACTCCTTGCTGGAGCTCTGCCGGGCCTTGACATGTACGTATGGTTTATCCACAGCTCTTCTACCAGAGTCTTTGGCACCCTGCTGCGGCAATAGCAAGGTGTCCGTCCAACGGAACCGTCAATGGATGACTTTGTCAAACTTCCACGGCGTGGATGTATTTCACTTTATCGCACAGTTCACAGTTCACCCAAAGCTCTGTACCGGGAAGGTCCCGTCATGCGACTTAAAGTCCCGGATCGGTCAAAGTCGCGTAGGATCGCTGAAAGTCGTTCACAAAGTCGCGTGCGAGTCGTGTGCGAGTCGCATGCGACTTTTGCACGACTTTCCAAACGACTTTCAGCGATCCTACGCGACTCTGTCACCTTGTTAATAGAAATCTTGCGCGACTTTGAAAGTCGTGCGAGAAAGTCGCACGCGACTTTCATGCGACTTGCATGCGACTTTACATACGACTTTTGATGCGACTTTGATGCTGTGTGCGACTTTATGCTAATTTTTGGCGACCAGCAGTCGCGTGACCGGGCCTTCCGGTAAGTGACGACGTGTCTGGCCCATCGACAGACGAAGCTCAAACGTTTTACAAGTGCTTTTCCGTCTCGGTGGGAGAAAGAAGCCGAGAAAGATCCAGACCAGATGCCACTTTTTTCTTCCTGCTCGAGCCCATCAGAAGCCCACCGGCGATGTTCTTCCCGGACTGTCAGCACTACTAGCTAGCTAGTAAGTTAGCAGGACCACTGGATTGTTTCCAACTAACTCTCCCCCATAAAATCGTCTTGAAAGTTGTCCCAATTCGACCAAGCAAGATGAAAGTGTTTGCGTTATTCCTCGTCGTTGTTGTGTTTTCGACGGCCCATGGATTTGTGGTTGTGGACCATCACCCCAAAAGATGCGCATTGGGAACTGCTACCGTCTTGGCGGCGACTCGTGATTTGAAAGACGACGAGCCACCAGTGGAGGAACAAGCACAAGCACAATCGGTCAGTTGGAAACGCCGCGCATGGTCGCAACTGCAACAAGTGCTGTGGCCGGGTGCCCAGCCAGATCCTCATTTCTCCGAGCCTCTTCCTCCTGGTTCGTTGGGATGTCCCTTTTTCGGCAGTGAGGGCTTTTTGAGCGGCAACAAGGTGGACGGTCCCGGGTATTTTTATCGCCAGCAAAGTGCCAGCGAAGGACACCCCACGGTGGTCAAATTCTACTTTTTTGGAACACCCGTGGCGTCCGTGTCCGGTGCCGAGTGGGTCAAAAAGTTGACTGCCATGGAATTTTCTCAAACCGAAGCACTCAGTGCGTCCTTTAATGACAATGAGGACGGCACTACTGCGCGTGGTACTGCCAAAGAGGACATTCCTTCCGTCTTTGGAACGGACAATATTATGTTTGAACGCAACAAAAAACTACACTCCTTCCTCAGACGCCTCGTGGGAAAGGGAGTCAGTACTCCCGCCGTCAAGACATATTTCAAGCCGCTGCAGCAGTTGGTCACCAATCGCTTTCACGACAGTCAACTCCTCGCATCCTCCAACAACAACAACGACAACAACAATAACGCCGCAATATCCATGGAATCCTTTTGTCATGAATACACATTGGATGTCACGCAAAACTTGGTCTTGGGCCTCGACTTGGCACCGCAAGAAGTCGCCGTCTTTCGCCAAAAATTGGTCACGTGGTTGGGCGCACTCTACTCTCCGCTGGTGACACTCGTCAAAACTCCCTGGATTGTCCAACACTTGCCCGAATATCACGCCCGCCACTATATTCAGGACAAGATTGAAGCCAAAATCGATGCGTTATTGGAGAGTGGCATTCCCGAAGATTCCGTCTTGAGCAGCATGGTCTTTGCCGTGGATGATGATGAGAATGACACTAACGACAATAATGGCACCAAACGACGACTGACACGCCAACAAATTGTCGAAAACAGTCTCTTGCTCATTATTACCGGGTCGGAAAGTTCCGCCGGAACCTTGACGCTCATCATGTTCTTGCTAGGGTTGCATCCGGACAAGTACCAGAAACTCGTACAAGAACAACAATCCATCATTCAACAGTTTGGACCGGAACTCACACAGGACATTCTCGAGAATCACTGTCCCTATTTGAATGGAGTGCGAAAGGAAGCATTGCGCATCGGTGCCGTGACCGGTGGGTATCCCAAACGGGCCAAAGGCACCATCCTTGCCGATGGCGTGCAAATACCCAAAGGATGGAGTGTCTTTTGCAACATTCGATTGACGCATCTCCTCGATCCCGTGGCGCGCTTGTCCGACAATTCACACATGTGCGTGTTCCAGGGATTTCAACCGGAACGGTGGTTTTCACCCGAAACGACTCCCTCGGACTTTATGCCCTATGGGTCCGGTCCTCGTCGGTGTTTTGGAAAACCATTGGCCAATTTGCAAATGCAGCTCTTTCTGGCGACATTGGCCCGGAATGTCCAGTCGTTTGAACTGGAAAAGGATTATCAGGGAGGAAAAGTCCCTGTCGAATGGTATCCTAGTACAATCACACCCCGACCAAGCGATGGGACCATGGTGAAGAACGTTGTAACATTCTGAGCGACCTAGCTCCCACTAGCTAGCTGTACCGTAGGAGCTAGCTAGCACTAGAGACATTGTAATTCTATAGCGGAAGGAGGATATGAGGCCTCTAGCTAGCTACTAGAAAGCCACCAGAAGGTTTATCCGTCGGAATCGAATGGTTAATGATATCAGCCGGTTATTACAGTGCCAGAGTGGTCTCAAACAAAGACAAAAGAATGATGGGCGTGGTTCGAATATAATTCAATCACGTTGAATAAAATTCAATCACGTTGGTGACTAAGATCCAAAACTTTTCTCCCTTCGCTTCTTTGGCGTTCGACGTACAGGCATCACACCATCCGCACTTCTCGCCCTTCCTCGGGTCCCTCCATAATAGTCACCTCCAAACCCCCATACCAGACGCATCAAAAGGAGGAAGAAGATTCCCATGACAAGGGGCTAGTACGGTAGCTAGTGGCCTGTAATCCCATACTAATATCAGCAGTGGACAGTGGACAACGCGAAAAGCAATCCTTTTTGCATCCTTGTTATAGTGCTTGGAGATGACAGATCAAAAGAAGCTTCGGGTTGACGGCGATGGATTGCCGGGGCACATCATGGTAGTAGGCGATGCTGCAGCATCGACCAACATGCAGCCTTTGCAATCGGCGATTGAAACTGGGGATGATGGTGCCATCGCTGCTGCCTTGAATCAACTCATGGACGAATCAAAAGATGAACGAGTCTTGATGGACCGGATATCTGTGCTGGTGTCAATCAAGAGGGGTGACCAAGAGGAGGAGGAAGAAGAAGAAGTCGATAATGAAAAGGAGATGACAGGAGTCGAAGAAACTGCTGAGATTAGACTGGGGGACACTTCCATCCAAATGTTTTCACTTACTGTCACGTCGGAACGATGTCTGTTTGTTGCCTCCTCACAAAGCCATCAAAATGATGCTTCACCATCCAGCAGCAACATTGAGAGTCCTACTTCCAAGTCACGTGACAGCTTTCAAGTGGAAGCAGAATCCATACAACTGCATGCCCAATCCTCGGAGCCAGTGTCAGTGTACCTGCAAGTGGAGGGCGCAGAGGAAGAGTCCTATCCTCAAGAAATTACCATTTTACCCGACAAAAAATACGAGGAACAGGAAAAAATGAAACTCTGTGAAATGCTATTTGAAAACATTACCCAACTCATTGAACTGCATCCAATACAAGATGACAGTGGTGGTGCTGGTGGTATGATGGGAATGATGAGCAATATGATGGGAATGATGGGAGGGCAACAGCAAACTCCAATGATCATGGGAGTAGACAACAATGACAATCTGGGGCCCTCGTCAATGGAGGCGACACCAGACGAACGGGCTGCCATGTTGGAAAAATTAGACAACATGTTGGTGGTCAAGCCTGGGGTGGAAATTGTCAACGGACAATTTTCAGATGCTGAGGAGGACGATGATGAAGAGGAAGCAGTCATGCAGCACAAGCCAACAGCAAACGAAGAACCATCCAAAAACAAAGGACAGAGTGCTGCATCTGTTGCACCGCAGAAACACGCCACTGGGCAATTCGATGATGTGGATGACCAAGGTGATACTTTGTTGTGAAAGACATATCACTGCCACGTATACAATTTCTGGTTGCTTGAGGGAACTGTACTAATAGTGAAACTGCTCTCTTCATATCAGTATTGCGGGCCCCGTCGACGTGTCTTTCTTGATGTAGTTCGAGTGAAGTCAGAAGTCAAGAAAGAAACAAACATTAAATTTATTAAGTCGTACAACCAGTATATGTAGTGCAATTGTGAAACATGAATTGGTGTGCTAGGTTGTTTTATGAACTATATTTATCCATTCTTCTTGTTTTGCGCTCTACTGTGCACAGACTCATCGTCGTCAAGGTCTGAGAATCCAGTTTGATAGGGTATGGCCAAAAACGAAGCATTCCTCTTTTTCACTTCCTTTGTTTTCATGGCATCTTTGGGAACCTGCGGGCCAAAAGGAACCACTACAGAACTTTTGCGGTTTGTACGTTCCGCCATAAATGTAGATAGAGTATTGCTGCCTCGGTGAGATACCACCGATTTGTTTTTTTCGGCGGGGTCACTGCTGGCTGTCCCTCCTTCTTTCTCCTTCATGGACTTCTTGATATGTTCTTTGAGGGCAGCACCGCTGAGTCGTCCACTACCGGTACCTGTCCTTGAGGATTGATGGCGTTGTTCTTTAGTGAATGCAGAGGCAACCGATGGAGGCGACACTTCAGCCGTGGGACTAGGCACTGCCAACACCTCTCCCAGGACATTTTGGATGCAGGCAGATATCCCTTCATCCGCAGCTGCAGGATTCACGTCCTCATCGGAGTCAGAGTCACCGTTGGTAACAAGCATGTGCTGCATGGATGCTTGCCCCATACTTTCCGCCGAACGCCGAGAGGAATGACTAGGATTACTGCCATGGTGGTGGCGACGGTGGCGAATGTGATCACTGGATACACGCTTGGGTTTGTCGTCAGCATCTGCCCCATCCGTACCGCTCTTCCTCGGTGGAATATCATTGATCGAGGCCAAGGCACGCTGCGCTATACGATGATTTTTGTATGCCGCCCCTCTGTTCCTAGCTGCACCAGCTGTTGTGACTCGACGGGGAGAGCGTGTGCGCTGCACTCGGGACATCAACGAAGGGTCACTGATGCGCTTTGGTGGCATTTCTTCTTCGTCATCATTGTCATTGTTCTTGTCAGTATGTCCATCGTCAATGGCACGACGGGGAGACCTCTCTGGAGGCGCTGAAGCCTTTGTTTTCAATTTCAACAAGGATGGGTCACTGGAGTGCTTGTGAGTGGAGGGCAACGCCTCCTCCTTGTCATCACTCGTATGGCCCCTAGGAGTGGCATGACGACTACGCTGGGAGTCCTTCTTGTCTCGTCTCTTGTGCATTCGAGAAATGACTGCGCTCGTGGATTTTTGAAGGCTTTCTGAATTTTCCAAAACCTTTGCGTTTCTTTCCTCATCTTTATCCGCATTCACCAGAGCCTTTGTCATCATATCCGCATCCATACTGCTTGCACGACGAAGGGGCTTTACTCGGCCAGGCCGCCGTTCGTCCTTGTGAGTAATGCCATCTTCACCACTTTGGGTCTTGCGGAGTGTGTGTTTGGTTGGTTTCCTTGTCTTCTTCTCTCCACTGTTGTCACTGTCACTGTCACTATGTTTACCAGAGCTGGTTTTGCGCAAGATGTTCTTGTCCTTGAGCTTTTTTCCATGGCGGCAAGAACTTTTCGCATCCTTGGATTTTCTTCCTGCAACTGCACTTCCCGTGGCTTCCTTCATTTTCTTGGGGTCCAAACTGCTGCTTCGGCGAACATTCCTGGTAGGCAATATGGAACTGGTTGTGTGTCGACGAGGACTTTGACTACGAAGCACCTTTCGAGCAGAAACCGCGTCATTGCAACTTGCAGTTTTTCTGATGCATTGTCTGCTTTTGGTGGATCCTGCTGACTTGTGGCTTTTGTGGGTCTTTGCTGTTCTTGCGCGGTGGGCAAGACTGTTGCTGCTAGCCTTTCCATTTCCACGATGAAGAGATGTACTGAGAGGATCATTCATTTTCCGCGCTTTGCTTCTCTTCTCTTCCTCCTTGATAGCTTCGAGGCCACCAACGGCTGCCTTCAATGCAAGACCATTGAGACTGCTGCTTCTTCGCATAGCTCTACGGTTGGGAGGAACCATTTGATGCTGGCAGTTTGGGGCCAAAACCTGCGAAGTCCCAACACTATTGATAACGCTTATCTTCTTCTGGATGGGATTGGGCTGCCACTGTTGTGCAGCCTTTTCATACAACTTATCCACCAAAGCAACATGATCCATTGTCATGGTCCCCACTACACCACTACATGTAGCTAGCTAGCTAGCGCTAGAAGCTACTCGGGCACCACACAAACATGTTCTTGTACTTGAGAGCTTACACGAACTTGAGTACTCTGAGTACATGGATGTACTCGTATGTCTTGGTCGAAAAGGGCAATAATTTTGGTGGTCCTGCCAGCGAAGAGTAACTGTTTTCGTCAAGGGGGATGCTCCCCCTGCGCCTGTAATAATAAGTGCAAAAATGTAATGACTGGTCGTTTGACGAACAAAATGTCCTTCGTGTTAATGCTGCCTTGCCAGTCGATAAGACTTTTAAATGAAATATAAAAAGCCAGGCATTCAAGGGGCAGACGGCTTATAACAACAACCACTGAAAAATAGCTGCTGAATGCTCCTGTTTCTTAGATGAGACTGGTCCGCTGGGGCACCTGCTTGTGGGTTCGATTTAATAAAATCAATCGAATGAATGATTATTCGAACCATTCGATTGAGACTTGTTCGACTCAATCACGAAAGTGACTAAAATACAAAAATGCGATCTTTTCTCGCTTCGCGTTCAACGTCAACCCATCACCTTTGGCAAATCGATGGCTCGGGGCCTTGACACCTGCTTCTTGCCTTGTACTTGCAGACACATTGAAGGTGGAAGAAGATTCGATTCCCATAGAGTACCACTGGTACCGGTAGTAGCCTCTCATACTGTTAGTTACCATCCACCTACTGATTTATTGACCATGGCTTGTTTTTCTTCTATGTATTGGGCCCTTGTGGGTCTCTTGATGATGTCTTCAAGTGCCAATGCGTTGCAAGCGCCAATGCCATTGGTAACTCAGCAATCACTGATGGCCCATGCCGTGACGGCATCGCTCCAGCGTGGTGAAAACTCTCTTTGGAACAGCGTGTTGCCGGCAAAGACGACTCATGATCATGCAGCGACCCTCAAGATCTTGTTGGTGGAAGCCAACAACTTTTGGATTGCCGATGGATGGGATGTGGCCCGAAACATTGGATTGGGCATTACGGCTGTTGTCTTTTTATTGGCGGGAGTAACCTATCTGTATGCCAGCTTTATTATTCCCGTGGCGGCGCAAGAGTTGGAGAAGGAGTGCAAGGAATTGAACCCGGAACTCTGGGCGGAATACCAAGCCAAGTTGGGAGACGGAGAAACCATTGCGACACGCCCGGATCTCATGCAGGAAATGGGAATGAAGTTACAACCTCTCTTGGAAGCCAAGCTTGCTGCTGCCGAGGCAGGGGAAGGGGAAGCTGCTAGTAATAAGATGCCCTCGGCGTTGGAAACTACCATGAACCCCATGGGAAGCAACAGCGGTGTTATTGATGCAGAGGTGGTCCAAGACGACGTACCTACAATCAAACTGACATCTACGGATCAGTGGGACTCTCCCGAAGACACGAAGAAATCGTCTTAATAAGAAGAATCTGCCCGGAAATGGACGACACCTGATCTTGCTAGCTAGAAAGTAGCTATGCGGTTCAAGGTGGGGGTAAGGCAGACGAAATCTGTCTGGAGGGAAGCACAGCAAAGAAGCTCGCAAATACAACATTCACCGAGAGCACAGACTGTTCAAGGGGACCACTTTTTTATTCAGGACACGAACACAAGGTTACAACGTCACGAACTTCACCCCATGCGCTCCCTGCAATTTGCTTGTCGTGAAGCCACATCATTGTTACATCAGCTAACGTAAATGGAGTTTCATTTTTTGATGTCGTTGCCATTGCCGTATGACCACACGGATACCGGTACGGTACATTTGGGGTACAACGTAATGTACAGTCACTTGGAGGCAGATTGAAACGAATGGATCATTCTTCCAATACCGGTAGGTAGGTATGGCGGCTGGCTACGGTAGCTAGTGGTGCGTGGTGTTTGTATAGTATATTATTATTATATGAACAAGTTGCTAGTGGTAGACGTGATGAAGAGCAGACCGTTGACTACACCAAGGTAGTCAATCCGACGGTGATCGTTGCAATCAAAGTAGTGACAATCGTCCAATGCCCCCCGAACCTTGAAGAGCTGCTGCTAGAGAAGCAAGCTGTGCTCCCCATATATGTGGCGTCCTCACAAGGCGAACAGCGGGTTACGTTGGAGGTCTGCCGTCCAGTGACACTGGAAGAGCCAGCTGGACAAAGAATACCAGCACAACCATACTTTTGCACATCGTAGTCATTCCAACCGTTTGCCTGGCATAGCTCTCGATCAATATCGGAGATCTGATTGTCGGTAAGGTGGATTGTCAGACGGCTCAAACGAAACAACTCTCGAGGAACGGTCCCGTCAAGATTGTTGTTGGACAAATCCACCACAATCTTTTCTTCTTCGGCGGCAGACTTCAAAAAGGTCAGTGGAATCGGTCCAGAGAGTGCATTCTTGGACAAGTCCACGTAGGATATACTCCTAAAGTTGCCAAAATCAGGGAGGGCACCTTCGAATCGATTCTCGGCGGCCAAGAACGTTTCCAGCGATGGGAGGTTGTTGATCCAGTAAGGGACGGTTCCTTCAAAGGAGTTTTTGGAAATGGAAAGTGCCTTCAAATTGATCAAACGCGATAACTCTTCCGGCAGTGCTCCTTCCATATCATTGTCTTCAATGTTCAGTTCTGTCAGACTGCGCGCTTTGCCAATTCCACGCAATGATGTCAATCCTGTAGAGTCCAAGATGAGTTGCCGCAAGCTCTGCGCGTTGTCGATGCCATCCATGGGGATCATCAACGATGGGTTGCCAAATAGCGAGAGAAGTTCCAGCTTGGGAAGCATGTAGAGTTCGGTCGGGAAGGTCCCTTGCAAATTGTTCGCGCCAAGCGAAATCCCCACAATGGACTTGGACTCGTCGCAGGAAATACCGTACCAGTCACAAACGTGGACCTGTGCCGCACTTGTCTGCTTCTTCTTCATCATCCAACTAGCATTGTTCTTCCATTGATCTCCTCCTGTTTGCTTAAAGAGCAGTTCGATCAGACCCTGCTCATCACTATCCTCCATAGAGAACTCCATTTGGCACCGTTTTTGTCCCATCCAGTTCGGCGAGACCCCAGTTGCAGCTTCTTCGCTATCATCCAGCGCTGTGCATTTTTCACATGGGGCGTCGTCATACTGTTGGCGTCCTCCGCCAGTACCGATAGGGCATAAGATTGCATCACATCCGAACTCACCAACAAGCCCATTCATCCAGTCGACGCTGGCACACAATCTTTCATCCAGCTCGTTGAATCGATTTCCTTGAAGGTCTAGATCCATGTTCTGGAAACGTGATAGCTCACCTGGGACCTAGTGTAGAGAAGTTTTCGCGCAGAGTATTAGAGGTTGAGTATGTATCATTGTGGAATGTAATCATCATAAAAATCCTTGCTCGAAACTTGGGTCTTACCTTTCCTGTCAATCGATTGTTGGCCAAGTTTACCTTGAGAACGGTCAGCAAGGATTCCGTACCTTCCAAAAGCTGGACGGGCACTGTACCCTCCAAGAGATTGTCGGACAACTGCAACGATTTCAAAAAAGGATGGAACCGAAACGTTTTCAATGGACCACTGAGACCTCCACCCTTGGAGACTTGATCTGCCAGCGACAATGCCTGAAGCTTTTGAAGCGCATCAAACGTCGTGGGTAGCGGCCCTTCCAACTGATTCTGGGCCAACGACACGAAGCGAAGCTCGACCATGTCTCCAATCGCATCGGGAATGGAGCCGCGAAGGTGGTTGTCAAACAGGTACAATTCGTTGAGCTGTTTTAAATTGGCCAACTTCTCAGGCACGGTGCCAATCAACTGGCATTCGGACATTGAGAGAAGCTTGAGAGCGGTCAAGTTCAACACCTGTTTCGGCAAGGTCCCTCCCAAAGTCAGACCATCGGCAATCAAGTAGGCAAACCAATCGGACGCCATCTCGAGTCCATCAAAGTTGACCGTGGCAGTTCGACTGATATCGAGGTATCGAAGTTCACTCGATTCATCCATCTTGGTGAGTGGGACAACTAACTCGGGATTCCCTGAAAGCTCGAGGGTATCCAAATAGTCCATTGCAAATAGGTCTTCAGGGACTACTCCAACCAAGTTATTCCCCGACAAGTCAATCCTCCGGACTCTACCTCCGGCACTGTCGTCATCGGTATCTCCTGGTTGAAAGCAAGTAACTCCGTACCATTCGCAAATGTCACCGGTATCGTACAGTCCCTGCCAGTCATGGGCTAGTTTCCATCCTGTATTATTGATCCAGTTGTTTCCGTTGGTTTCACTGTACAGTGCAATCAAGGCAGCCTTGTCATTTTCTTGAACACACGTCGACTCTCCGTAAAACTCGGCAGCATCACAAGTACGACACGCGTAGCTATTGCTGGCATGTCCAATGACGCTGTAAGTCCCTGGGGGACACGCCAAACCATCGCAGGCAAAGTTCATGACAGCTCCACGGTTCCAGTACTCATTGTCACAAAGAGCATCGGAAACGTTCACCCATCGATTGTCTTGCCAATTAAAGTCCATGGACAAATCTTGCAATATATCCAAACTCTCCGGAAGGATCCCCGTCAATTGATTCTTGGAGATATCGACCCGAATCCATCCGGCCGTTTCGGCAAAGTTGGGTTCCCAAGTAGTAATGCCCAAGAGAAATTGCGGAGGAACGGGCCCCGTGAGCTGGTTCATATTCAAAAAGACTCGTGACAATCGCGGCATGGCCGACAGCGAGGGTAGCCGCCCCTTGAACTGATTCTCTGCCAGGTACAATTCGTCCAAATCCACCAAGGCATCGACCACGTGCAAGTCTCCCGTGAGTTGATTGCGACTGCAACTAAACTTTTGCAATCGTGTCATTTGAATCATTTCATTGGGCAATGGCCCTCGCAACTGATTGTCAAATAGGTTGAGATTGCGCAGATTGGTCAACTTTTGAATGCCATCTAGTTTTCCTTCTAGTTGACAACCAGAGAGTTGCAAATCGCGTAGATTGGTCAATGCCAACAACTCGGCGGGGAATGAACTGCGAAGGGGACACCCGGAGAGGTGTACCACGTTGAGGGTCAAGGAAGCGTGATCCAATCCAGCCAACGAGGCAGTCGCGGTGAACTGTGCCTTGACAATGCTGAGCTGGGGAGCGTCGTGGACACTGCTAAAGTCCACCTGGAGCTTATCATTGTGATTGACATTAAGATACTGAAGTAGGGGAAGTTTCCACAGCGATGCAGGAGTTCTGCCTTGCAAAAAGTTTTGCGTCAAGTCGAGACCCATGACGCGATGGGGATCTTTACTGTTCGACGACGACGACTCACGAGCAGCCGTACTACTACTACTACTAGTGCCAGCAGCAGGAGAAGTGCCATCATCTTGGTAATAGTCATCGTCTCCGTCGTCTTCCTCCAGTTGTCGCCGCTGAAATGTGTCCAGATCGGCTTCACCCGTACAAATGACGCCTGTCCACTCGCAATAGTCATCCGTTCCATCGGGGGTAGCATCTTCCCAACCTTGATTCTCGTTCCAGGAAGGACCACCCGTGGCGCTGTATAGCTCTAGAAGAATCGAGCGTTCGTCCACAACATTATTACTTTGGAATGACAGGGACACGGCACTACCACAGAAGAGTGACAGTACCACCGTTGCCACCAACAGGAAATGGCCGTGACAGAGCCTCATCATCGTGGTTGTTGACCTTGGAATCTTTTGGGCTACTTCTCACTTTGTTTTCGTCTGCTGCTGCTGCTATCTAGCTCCTTGCTACTCTAGAGTCCAGGGCTGGCAGGGATACATCAATCGCGTATTGGTTGCAGTGATATGCTACGAGTACGAGGATGCCAGTGCTGGTTTCCCGAAACTCAAAAGAACATCCACATGGCCGTTAGTAGCTAGCCAAAAAGAGCCAGTGCTTACTCTCCACCGACAAAGCCCAGCGTGGGAAAGCCAATTTTTCGATCACGTGCGTTTAACAAAAAGATATCATTCGTGGGAAATATTTTAAATATTCCAAAAAATCCAAAGAGCAAGCCAATGATTGGATGATGGCTCGAAGCTCTTCACAATTTGCATTGCATGTTTTGGGACCATCAGCCTTGTGCAAGTTTAGACTACAATGTAGTTTGCTACTTCTACAGTTGGTTATTAGCTTAGCTGAAGACTGGATTGCTGCAGTGTAGCTGTCTTGGTCATGTTGCTTTGTCTTCTTGTCCTCGACTCGCTAGTAGCTTAGCAAGGCTTCCACGAGAAATTTCCTGACTTCGAACCATTTGCAATGGCACCGGTACCCTCGGTCTTCCACCATATCCCTCCTTCACTATGTACAAAAAGTGCTTGTCATCGTCATCTCGACTCCAAAAGCTGCCAAGTATGATCGGTATGCATGTCCTAAACAGGCGATTGGATCTTTTGACGTAATGAAGTAAATGCGAGCCACGGTTTCCTCTTTTGTCATCAGCACTTGACGACGTCAAGTAAGGCATCTTTGGAGATAGAATGGAATGGGGAGGACTTGAGAAGCTTGATACTCAGCTCACATAGACAACTAACTGATGGAAGACCCTGCAAAACCTGCAAAGAGCCGCTATGGTAACTGCCTTAAGCTAGATCTAGTAGACTGTTTGGGTAAATTATGAGCTATCTAGATTATGTAGATACAGAGCCACTGGCTCCGAGCAAGACTATGTCTCCTCTAGAGGAGATCTATCTTGGTGTCAAGACCTATCTTGACACCCATCTTGTCACGACTATTGCATCCGCTTCCCCAACTGCACTAAGCTTCAGGGGTCTCTGGTTCAGAGAAGGGTTGCACTCTTCGGATGTTGATCCGTTCAGAGATTGCACCTCGTCGTATGCGGATAGTGCCGTTGGCATAGACATGCGTGACTTTGAATGGTCCATCTCGCTTGCGTCTAAGCTTGCGGAGGATCCCGGGTCTAGCCTTTGACACCTGGTCTCCTATTGAGTAGGTGTGCGCAATGCGCTTGCTGTTTTCCCGTTCATTGTTTTTATTTATCATTGCTTGTCTGCGTGCCCTTATGGCTTCCCAGTCAGCCTTGAACTGGACTGGTAGAAGCATGTTGCGTCCGAAGATCAGCTCAGCCGGTGTTGCCTCTAAGGTAGTATGGTAGGTACTCCTTATGGCATAGGCAGCAGCAGATAGGAAGGAGGACCACGGATCATGGCCATCTAGTTCCTCTTCTTCCAATTCGAAAGTTCTTAGCATATTCCCTAGGACTTGGTGTACCCGTTCCACAATGCCATTGGCTTGGGGGTTGTACGGGGAACTAGGCTTCTTGGTCAGGCCGTAGTTTTCGACGAGTTCTTCAAAGACTGACTTGAACTCTTTGCCATTGTCGAACCCAATATAGTGGGGCCTTGGATACCTATTGATCCAAGCATCATCTAATGCCTTCTGGCAGCAGTCAGCACTTGGCCTCTCAACCTGCTTAATCTCAAACCATCCTGTGGCTGGATCAATCATTGTCATGGCTCGCAGTTCAATCTTATTGCGTTTGCCTTTGACCTTGACAGAGTATGGACCTACTAGGTCTACATTGACTCTATTCCAGGGTACAGATGGTTCTGCCTCCTTGGCTGGGAGGTGGCCATACTTTTTAGCTGCTGACTTGCAGAGTTGGCACTTTCGGCAAGACTTGACAAAGCGGCGGATATCATCTCGCATCTTGGGCCATGTCAATATTTGACCTATTGTCTTTTCCATTCGTGTCTCACCTGGATGCACTAAGTAGTGGTGCACCCATGCAACTATTCGATTCTGTAGTACCTTTGGTACCAGTATCTTTTCATTATAGCAAATGAGTGTATGTCCCTCTATGTCTCTCTTAGAGTACTCTTGTTTGCTCTTCTCAACTTTCTTGAGGAGTTCCTTGTCCAGGCGTTGCGCCTTGGCCAGGAGTTTGGGGTTCATTGGGAACCCTTCAAGTTCTGAGTCCTCAAGCCGCTCTGTTGGCTTGCTTGTGGTCTCTCCATTGAAGCACATCTCGCACAGTTCCTCCTCATCGAGGTCTATTTCATCTCTCACTAAGGTGGCCATACAATAGGCTGAGATGTGTGCTTGGCTGGACTGCTCATCACTGGACTTGTGTCTAGCCCATGTGACTTCTTGGCTGTCACGTGTATCTGTTTCATTGTCCTCAAGATCCATTCTGGAGAGGGCATCGGCAACCACATTATCTTTGCCAGCCACATGAATGTATTCAGGGCCAAACTCTTCTAGCAACAACCTCCATCGGACAATCCGATCATTGGTTAAGTTGCCATAAATAATATTCTTGTGGTCGGTATGTATTACAAGCTTTTGTCCCAGGAGGATTGTTCTGAACTCCTTGAGAGTCTCAACAATGGACAGTAGTTCCTGTTCTCCTGTTGTGTAGCGCTTTTGAGCACTATTGAGCTTGCGGCTGTAGAAAGCCAATGGTTTGCCTTCTTGCATAATCACTCCGCCTAGTTGGTAGTCACTGGCATCTGTGTATATATGAAAGGTCTTACTAAAGTCGGGGAAGGCTAGCATAGTACCTTCACTCATAATCCTTTTCAATTCTTCAAAGGACTTCTGACATTCTTTGGTCCAGTCCCACTTCCTCTTCTTGGAAAGTAGTTCTGTCATTGGGGCTAAGAGGTGGCTTCGACGTCGCCACATGTCTCGGTAATAGTTAACCATGCCAAGGAAATGTCTTAATTGCTTGACATTCTTAGGTGCTTGCAGCCTAAGTATCGCTTCCACTTTCTTTGGTTGTGGTTTGATGGCATTCCGAGTGAGTTGGTAGCCCAAGTACTCTAGCTCGTCCTCTGCAAAGAAGCATTTGCGGACATTGGCTCTGAAGCCTTTGCTTTCAAGCCTACTAAGTACTATTTCAAGTTTAGCAAGATGGTCCTCGAAGGTTCCATCAGAAATGATGAGGATATCATCAATGTATACTCTGGCAAACTCCAGATCACCTAGGAGTTCATCCATGATACTTTGGAATATGTCTGGGGCAGATGCTACACCCATAGGTAGCTTCCTGTATCTGTACTTGCCCCAAGGCAAGATGGTTGTGCATAGTGCCTGGGATTCCTCATCAAGTGGGATATGATAGTAACCCATGCTTAGGTCTATAGCCGTTGCATATTTGAAACCCTGCAGTTTGTATAGCAGGTCAGAGATTTTAGGTAATGGGTAAGGCTTGCGCTTGAGCACTTCATTCAACTTCCTGAAGTCTGTCAGCACTCTTACATCCCCTGTTTTCTTAGGTTGGATGAAGCTGGCAGCTGCCCATTCACTATCATGGTTTCTTTCCATGACACCAATCTCGCAGAATCGGTCAATCTCTTTCTTAGTTGTTTGCTCATAGGCTTTTGGTATGGGAAAGGCTCTGGCATGGAATGGCTTGGCACCTTCTTTAATTTCTAGGTGTACAGGCTTGATATTTAATTGTCCAAGGCCACCACCAAAGAGTGTGGGATGGCTCTTGAGTACTGCCTTCAGTTTCTCTTTTTCATCCAGGTTCAGCTTAGCCTGACTATTGATATACTCATCAATGTCTACACTGGAATAATTAGCATCTAGAATCCGCTTCTGGCGTGACTCTGCTTCCTGGAGGATAGGTGCCTCTACATGCATATGGTAGAGCGCTTCCATGAAGTGACTTTCACTAAGTTGCCCACGTTGTTTGAGGGGAACAGTGCTGTCCTTCCATACAATCACCTTTTCTTCGGTGTCGACATAGATACCAAGTTCAGTCATAAGGTCCATACCAATGATAATGTCATATGCCATTGTGCTGGAGTTATGGACATCATCTACATTGGCTACCCATGTGACGGTTTTATTGGCATCTAGCTCTGGGAACTTGAAGTCGACCAAAGCTCTTTGTTTGGTTTCGAATTGTCCACCAAGAGTGTTCCATTGAACCTTCTTTCCTTTGTAGCCTGCTCTGCCTTTGCGAACAAACTCCTTGAGGATGAGTGTCGAGGAAGTGCCAGTGTCGAGCAAGGCTCTAGCTGGGACCATCTCCTCATTCCGATTCATTATCTGGACTAAGACTTCGGCTGTGTAGTGCCCAGTTTTGACCTTTTTCTTTGGCCTACGGATATCCTCATAGAAGGGGAACAATTGCTCTGGTTGTTCGTTACTACTAAAGGGATTATTGCTACTGCTACTGCTGCTACTGTCATTGTCCTCATCATCACTGTATGCTGTGCTTAATCTGGGCATCAATGGAGGTACATCATCATCAATGTCAGTACAGTCAGTACAAGTGCTGGACTCGCAGTCAAGGTGCATGCAGTGCTTACCTTCGTTTTTGTCTTTCTTGTCACCAGCGATGGAAAGGCTGGCTAGGATATTATCAAAGCTGCCTACGGATTCTTCTTCATCCTGATGGGGGCGCTTGGCTTGGTTAGCAACAAGCTTCTTGAGATCTTTAGTCTCAATCATGACATGGGAGGATTGTGGCTTACCACTCTTATTTTTGTTGGAATGGAACTTAGCACGTTTGTTAGGACGGCTGCCGCTTCCAGAATCCTCGCTGTGCCAGCACTTTCCACGGTGCATTTTTCCGCAAGTGCTGCACGGAGTGCGTTCCTTCTGGTTGGACGTGTTATTGTCCTTGCCATTGTTATGGCCACCGCGGCGCCTTTTTCCGCTACTGCCACCACCACTGTGACCACCACCACCTCCAATGAACCTTCCGGCTTCGGCTAGCTTGCGGGAGAGTTGATTGGATTTGTACAGGCGTTGGTAGTACGTCACTGCTTCGCTGAAGCTTCTGAATAGGTGAGGCTGCTTGCCCTGGCTAAGCATCAAGGGGTGCCAGCGCCTAGGCGTGGAATAGTCCATGATGTCAACCAGTTCATCCCAATCAAGTTTCTTGTTTGGGGGATGTTCCATTTCCACCTTGTCAATGGGGAAATATTTCAAATAATCGTTTAGCTTTTCAAGGCGGTCCGCGAATTTCTCCGGATCCATGTTGCCCATGAATAGATTATTGCGCATGTAGCGCTTCTGGGAACGAGCTGCCCAGGCTCCATCAGCAAAGATTTTCAAGGCCATGTCGTTCAAGACTTTGTTCAAGGCCATCCTCTGCTGATCTTCCTTCTCAACCTTGCGGGAGAACCGCTTGTTGTAGAAGCTCTGGTAGAGCTCGGCGCTTTTGCCTTTGAGAAGGCTGCGCTGGACACGAACGATCTGAGCCGTCTTGGTGTATCCCAATGTTTTGATTAGGTCATCAATATTGAACCTCCATTCACACCATTCTTCTGGTGTATCACCCATTTCGAAGACTGGAAGCTTGACCGTGTAGTACTGCTTCTTTTTGTCATCATCTTCGGGCGTGTCTGGGTCCAATGGGACACTGAAGGTGCGCACGTTGGTGGAGTCCTCATCCTCGTCACCCTGGGATGACTTGCCCTTCCTCCTTTTATCGGAGAAGAAAGAGATAGCAGGAGCCCACATCTTGGCAACCTTCTTGCGCTGTTCGGCTTCCTCATCCATAAACTTGGAGTGAACGGAAGGCATGGTGTTGAGTCAGTAATGAGATAACAACCACCAAGTAGAAATACTGCAGAAGAGGTGCACAGAATTATTTTTGTTTGAATGAGCCCTCAGGTCAATTTGGGCTTGGCGTCAATTTGGTCAATTTCAATCCACGGGAGACTTGATGACTCGATGCACTCGGCGTCGAGTTTGTGTTCGTCCTGAAAGCACGGCTGGCTGTTGAGAGCAGGACCGTCAAGAGCAGGACAGGTCGGTAGCAAGTTCTTGTTGTTGTTGTTGTTGTGGGAGAAGGATGGAAGCTTCCCTTGTTGTCGCAAAATACCCCTCAGTCAAAGGATCGTGAAGATGATCCTTTTCAAAGGAGTGATATCACTATGCCTTAAGCTAGATCTAGAAGACTGTTTGGGTAAATTATGAGCTATCTAGATTAGGTAGATACAGAGCCACTGGCTCCGTTCTATGACTATGTCCCTGTAGAGGGTATCCAGGGATACTAAGATCCCTCTCCAGGCATACCAAGACCTCTCTTGGCATCCTTACAGTCAGGCCTATTGCACAACTCTACAATAAAGTGTTAAAGATCTATGCTTGGTGTTCGTTTCACACTGCAAACTACCATTACTGATGTTAGAATGGAGCAGCCCTTTCAGAGCAACAAATCATTCATGGCACTAAAAATAGGGAGCTACTGGTAGCTAGACTGCCAAGAGCAGGCCTTCATATCTACCAGTACCGGTACCGGTATCCCCATCCCAAGAATTCTGACAGGCTGCGACAACCAGATTCCCCAGCAGCACACTTGAACCGGTAACCCACAATAGGGGAACCTCCCTGGGAAGGAGCAACATGAGCCTCCATAGCTCAATCAAATACCAATCTCTGTTGCTGGTTGCACAGCTGGTCTTGTCAACACTCCATGCAGAGATGTACTCTACCCCAAGGAAACTTCGATCAACGGTGGTAAAGATCGAAGACCAGGAATCAAACCGGCTTGGTGAGATTGAATGGACTGAATCCACCACCACAGTTTCCGATGGGCTGGAATGGGAATATCAGTCTTTGAGTGAGATTGAGTTTCAAGTGGAAAGCAGCAAGAGGAATCTTCAGCTCAAGGTGGAGAAGAAATCACTTCGATTTGCAGCGTTGGCTACAACTTCGGTTGGAAAATACCAAAACTTGGCCCTTAGGGGATGTCAGGAGGCAGCTTCTAGGCTGCTGGAACCAGATGGCATTGAAGCCACATGTGATCTCTATGGGGCCACGACCAATACAGATACAAAGGAGATTCTGGGTGTCCAGAAACATTACTTGTCTCAAATCGTTCAGGCAGCAATTGACTCCAAGCATGACAAGCTTATTGGCGGTGATGGTGAGACTGATACCCTGCCTGAAATCAAAGGCAACACCACCAACAGTACCCATGCACCTGCTCACCAGAGCAATATGTTATATGATGGAATCATGGTGTCGGTTGCTGACCCTGCTGTCATCGGTCCCATGTTGGATGAAGCGGTCGAGACAGGGATTGTTGTGGTGACCAATTCGGCAGATGCACCAGACTCCAAAAGGGCCGCTTATGCTGGCACCAATAACACCTTCATGGGGATTCAACTAGCCCGGGTACTCAAGCAACTACGACCTGAGGGAGGCTCCTTTGCCACCCTCTGGGCTCCAGTGGGGAACTCAATTGTTGATCGAAAAGAAGGGTTTCGATTTGAGTTGCTCAATAACAGTGATCCCAATGTTGCATGGGGAGAAGTTCCCAACAGCCCAGCTCTTGTTACCAACATAAAAGATGCCATGGAACAATTGAATGGCTGGGCCAATAACACAGAAAACACTCTGACTGCAATTGCAATCCTTATCAACCCCTTGTTTGATGCACCTCACTATGAAGCACTTGTTAATCGATACCGCCACCTGAACATCACCTGGATTGGTATTGGAGACACTGAACGACAACTGGATCTTTTGGATCGCAACTAGGTCCATGGGCTTCTGGGTCATTTGACCTTTGACATGGGCATGGTTTGTGTTGCAACTTGACTTGTCTGGGTATGCCAATTGGCAAGCTTATGAGGCACGTTTTATCCAGTCAGAGTTCTCAGAATCCAAGTACATAGGCATTACCTGTGTTTCTATGATGCAAACAGCATTGATTGGGATTCCAATTATCTTTTCCCAAAGCTCTCTATCTGATCATTGTCTGCATGATCTTTGTTGTGAGCATGGCAATTCTTTTGCTCATTTTTATTCCCAAGATTGTCCTCATGGATAACTATGCCAGGCATAGCACCCGCAATCAGGGTCGAATGATCCAACAAGTGATTCGGGATCAGGCCCAACAATCAAGTGCCCTTAGTAAGAAGAAGTGTCAGGAACCTTCCAGTTTGTCTATGGTATATGGCCAGGACACACCAGCCGATATGGGCACAGAGAGCTCCTATTCACATGGAGTTGGGAACACTAGACGACTTGCAGTGTACTGTGGAAACATGCCCCATCAGGCTATTGCACCTGCTGTTGTAATGGAACATACAGCTTGAATCGGCAATATTCCAATTCTCCAGCCACCTTGGGACGGAGGACGACATGGGAAAGACAGATTCGATAATGGCAGGGGGTATATGGGCCGTCACTGGCCGGTACACACTGACTGGCTCTATCAGCAAAGTCAACCAACAAGAATTGTCCCATTGGGTAGCTGCCAACTGAGGGGGGTTCAGTTTTGAGAGAGATACAAGAAAATCTGGTTTTTATCAGAATACTTTTAATTAGGGACAACAACACACAACTCAACGGATTGAAGGTTGACTTTTGGCTATGACATGGTTGGTAGTTTTATTTGCCTGCCATATCTAAAGTTGTATGTGACAGTATGGAGTCGTTCTTCTGGTGGCTGCCTCATCAGGACACGATCCTTTCACGATGAAACTAGCAGGGGCTACGTAGCTTTCCATCCCTTCGTTATTCTGGTCTACAATAGCGTGAAAGAGCTATCTATTTTTCACACTTGGCTTTTGTTTCACACTACAAAACAGCCATACCGATACTGGTAATAGAATGGAGCAGGCTGGGCGATTTCCACCAAATCATTCATGGCAAGCAACGCCATCATATAGAGTGCCTTGGTATCCTCGTCCAAATAAATGGTCGCAGGCTTCCTGGGCTCACCAGCCATGCATGGCTTCTCCAAAGACGACGACGAGCTTCCTTTGGTGAGCAGACTTGACAGTGGGAAACACCTGGGCCGTGGGTCGTCCTTGTAAAAGCACTTTTTGTCTGAATCGAATCGGTTCATAGATCTGATTTTCAGCAGGATGCTGGTGCCCTCATTTCCACCGTGTCAAGGGTTCCGCGGAGCTGAGCAGTGTGTTGCTGGTGGATTCATTCATTCATTCATTCGATGCTAGCTAGCCAAAGAGAGCAAAGTTCGTTGAATTTGACATTGCCAAAAGTGGGGAAATTGGCGGCTGTAAGGTCCAAAAGGGCACCGTTGTGGGCATCGTCTACAAGATTTCAAGGGGGGCGTTTTGTGGTTGTTGCGCCATTGTACAGGTAGGTGTCGGCAACAGGGAATGGTGGACAGGGCTTGTTGATGTAGCTACGGTAGCAGTAGTCTAGTTTCGAGCGTGACAACGGTATCATTGTAGTCGTGGGGGAGTATACAAGTTGTCATAATTGCCATTGTCGTTGACTAAAGGGGGCTTCTTGGCGAAAACGGTTGCCGGCTTTTTCACGGTGGAATATATTGTTGTAGGCGCTAGAAGCCAAGTTGGTTTTCCACGGTACCGTACACGTCGGCAACTAGCTACAGGTAGCTCCTTGGACATGATTTTGTTGTTGTCTACAAGACGAGTGGAGGGCTTGTACCGTAGTTGCGCGTGAAATGTTCGTAGCCATTGGAGAGTAATTATTTGTCGCCCTTGTGCGTGACCAAAATGCAATGGGCTCCTTCGAGATGGTGGTTGTCACATTGTTGTAATGCATGGGAATTGGGCTTGTCGTCGATGGCCAAAGCTGGATGGCTTGTTCTGGTTGTCTGAAGGCGGTGTCGCAAGTTTGCCGTCTTTCCACGGTCGGTACCGTCAAAGGGATGGACGAACTCCTCTGCAGAACTGTAGATGGCATTACCGAATACATACATGTACGTGCCTAGCAAGAGCCGAGGATTAGCGTGGATGCGGTCAAAGCTGTTGTCATTGTGCGCGAGACAGTTAGTTTCTCGTCACCGTATGATAGTCATCGCAGTTGCTTTTGAAGGGCTCTTCCATAAATTTGATGTTCCAGCCGTAATGGGCGGGACTTTGTTGGCAGCGGCAACAGCGGCACGGATCTGGAATCGCTGCACGTCAAGTATTGTGGTGTGCAGTAGAGAGCAATTTTTCGTTGTTGTTGTTGTTGCCGCTGCTGCAGTCTTGAGCATCAACGATAATCAAGAAAGACGACTCTGTCGATTTTATCGATACGTTGGGAGTAGGGGCACCTTTCTTGTTACAAGTCGGCGGTGGCCAAAATGGGCTCCTGAATTGGCGACGGTTGTTTGTTGGCTTTCCTTCATTGTCAACCTTGTTGTTGAAGGGCAGCGCGGTGGTGTCACAGTTCATGTTTTGGCATTATTTGGCATCAAAGCAAATAAATGTGAGGAGACAAGGATCTTACGCTTCATCTTTCCGATTGAAGATTCTTCTTCCACGACCTCCTTATAAGTAAGTAATCATCCATTGTTTCTCACATTGAAGATTGAAGTACTAACTAACTAGTCTTCCCTCTACCGTATAATAGAACGTATATTCGCTTGGGGGCAGCGAGCTTTTACTCAGAGTACCGGTAGTAATTAAGAGAGCTTTAGGATTTAGAAGTGATACAGCGGAACATGTGTGTGGCCATTACGAATGTTTAATGAGGAATGAACTATGATACAATCGGTACTAAAGTAGTATTTTAATACCGTAGAGGAAGATCAGGGCGTGGTACTCACACTGTTTTAGCATGTGAGTATGGGTACTGAGTAGTACTCACAATTCCAAAGTCAAGTGAGTATGGGTACTGGGTAATACTCACAATTCCCAGGGTCAAGTGAGTACGGGTATCATGTGAGTACAGGTACTTTGTGGGTACTATAGAGTACTCACTGAGTACTCATAAATCAATTACTTAGGGAAATTATCTAGGTTTTTCTAGTTCTGGGCTGGGGGCTCATCAATCTTGTTTTAAAGGTCCACCATGGCACCAATATCACTGTCATAATCCTCCTCTTCACATCTGCTGGCATTTAGCTTGAGGAGATCCTTGTTCCTATTCTTAGCCCATTCTTTTCTTGCATCATTGATGCATTGCTTGTAGTTCTGGATGAATGCACTTTTCTTGTAGCAAAGAAGGCACATTTGGAATGTCATGTCAACCTTATGTCCATTGCTGAGTTTTCCATAAAACCATGTACAAGAACTAAAAACTCTTTCTTGGAAGCCACAAAACTCACCCAGTACTCACTGGTACTCACTTCAAAG